CCTCACACCCGTTCGCTGACAGTACCTGAATCGTAAGACTGTAACTGGGGGGCATAAGTCACAATAGGCGCTGTTGGCCTCGTGCCTGAAATATGGGCCAGCAAATGGCTGGAACAGTTTCCTGAACGTGGGGCGAGGAGGATTTCCTGGAACAGCGCCTAGTGAATCATGAGATGGAACAGATATAATGAAGCATTTCTCATTCCAGACCCTTCTGACTTTCCAGCTTCGCAAACTCTTGTCGATACTGAGTCAGTGGTTTGTTGCTTAAACAGGACTTACAGCCTTGATGCCAAGCTGTAGCCGACAGCTGCACACACATCTTATTTATCCTCTAGTTTCTAATTTGATCTTGTTTTTATCACTGTGGTTGCTGTTGGGATGTGTAATTATTTATTGTTCGTGTATGTCATGCGATTGTGTACGTGAACTTATCTATTTGTGTTGGCAGTTGAATTTGTGTATACGTACGTGTGTGAGAGCTGTACTTAACATGTATGTGTGTACTCACCTAGTTGTACTCACCTAGTTGTGTTTGCGGGGGTTGAGCTCTGGCTCTTTGGTCCCGCCTCTCAACCGTCAATCAACAGGTGTACAGATTCCTGAGCCTATCGGGCTCTGTCATATCTACACTTGAAGCTGTGTATGGAGTGAGCCTCCACCACATCACCCCCTAATGCATTCCATTTGTCAACCACTCTGACACTAAAAAAACATACATGTATGTTATACATGCATACATGCATGTATGTGTATACATGCATACATGTATACACACATACATGTGTGTATACATGTATGTGTGTGTATACATGTATGTGTATGAATGTATGTATTTATGTATGTACTCACCTAGTTGTGCTTGCGGGGGTTGAGCTCTCGCTCTTTGGTCCCGCGTCTAGTTATTACATGCCAGTCCGATTTCTTGTCCTTCACAATGACTCTCTGCCTCCAGTAGGTTAGGTACTCTTTCATCCATTGAAGTGCTCTTCCTCTTTCTCAAGTTTGTGTATAAGTTTTTTATGTATGTATGTATGTATGTATGTATGTATGTATGTATGTATGTATGTGCACTTTCTCATATCTCTAGGGATTATCTGTGTTTTTATCTAACACCTCCTACCATCTTGTGTTAGTATTCATTGTTGTGTTAGTTGTTCATTGTCAACACTTCCTCTCAGTTTTCCTGTTTGTTATTCTTCCATCATCTCTCTCTCTCTCTCTCTCTCTCTCTCTCTCTCTCTCTCTCTCTCTCTCTCTCTCTCTCTCTCTCTCTCTCTCTCTCTCTCTCTCTCTCTTCCAGCATCGTTAGGTTCAACTCTTTCAACCTTTCTTCGTACCCCAACCACCGTAATTCTGTGACGAGTGTGTGTTAAAAACTCCTGTCTTTTTCCAAGTTTCCTCGTGCTCGTTTTGACAACGGGGCTTCATACTTTACGACTGGTCTCACGTAGGTGGTGCATCGTGTTCTGAATATATATCAATAATGAAGTTTCTGAAGGATTTTCTGATCGTCATTTTAGAATATATCCCTGATATTATCTTCTTTACACGAGTCTCTTGGGCATGGGTTCATACTATATCATTTCCTATGTCATCTCTATTCGTTTCAAAGATTTTTTCAATTCATTATATATAATGATGCTGACCTCTTGCTCGGAGGTCCCGGTTTCATTTCCCACTACAATCTCGTGGATCTGTAGTTTGACAGTTTAGTTGGTTTCACAGTCCAACAGAAAACTGTCAAACGATGAACAAAAAAGTTCCAAACGTCCAACAAAAAAGTCCCAAACGTCCAACAAAAACACCCAAACGTCCAACAAAAAACTCCCAAACGTCCAACAAAAAAGTCCCAAACGTCCAACAAAAAACACCCAAACGTCCAACAAAAAACACCCAAACGTCCAACAAAAAACACCCAAACGTCCAACAAAAAACACCCAAACGTCCAACAAAAAACACCCAAACGTCCAACAAAAAACACCCAAACGTCCAACAAAAAACACCCAAACGTCCAACAAAAAACACCCAAACGTCCAACAAAAAATACCCAAACGTCCAACAAAAAACACCCAAACGTCCAACAAAAAATACCCAAACGTCCAACAAAAAAACACCCAAACGTCCAACAAAGAACTCTCAAACTAGTTATTACATGCCAGTCCGATTTCTTGTCCTTCACAATGACTCTCTGCCTCCAGTAGGTTAGGTACTCTTTCATCCATTGAAGTGCTCTTCCTCTTTCTCAAGTTTGTGTATAAGTTTTTTAATATGTAACTGTGCCAAAGGCTGTTTTTTTTCAGTCTAGAAATATTCAATCTGCATTTTGTTCTGTCTTACCTTATTTTAGCCACAGCACCGGCACACCCACCACAGACAGTCCCGTGGATCCACAGCACCGGCACACCCACCACAGACAGTCCCGTGGATCCACAGCGCCCTCACGCCCACCACAGTCACTCGACCTCCGGCCTAGATTTATAGCTATAATAAACCTTGACTTCATCCCCCAACTCTCCCTAGGTCCCTGCCCCCTTTCCCCTTAGCCACCCTTTCTCCAACATCCCCTCCCTTTCAACCACACTTCCCCCCCCTCCTATACACCCCTTTTCCCCTCAACCACACCCTCCCCAATCCTTTTAATCTCTGCCTCTCCTTCTGATGGGCGGGGATCGACCCGCCTTCGGCTAGGAATACGACAAGTGGGAAATATTGTAGGTGGGGAACGTGGCACGTGTGAAGAAAACATGACATGTGGGGAGAAAACGTGGCCCGTAGGGAGAAAACGTAGCATGTGGGGAGAAAACGTCTAGGTTCCAGAAGATGAGAGGAAATATCAGAACTGGAGAAATACCCGACAGATCACTGGAACATTATCTAACACAGTGCAGTTTCAAAGCCAATAAGATTTCAACTAAGATTCAACAGAGCAGAAGTTGTTAAACACGTGGGGGCATAATCTTACTGAAGCGACCATACGAGTTATAAATACTCATATACTCCCCCTAAGAGTATATGAGCAAACCAGAAACAAGTAACACTTAGTGGGTCAGCCAGAGGCTTGGGGCCCGCGCAGGGATATCCCTGCAAACAAAACAAAAAACTGGAATAATGAAGTTGGAAAATAAATCACGCTAGAGGCGGACCATATTACCCCTTCACGGGGAACAAAGAAAGAGAGAAGAGAAAGAGAATAACGAAATATGACCATAAACACACACCAAGACTTTTCAGAATTTATCCAACTTGACTTACAATCACATAAATAGAGCCATCTTAGTGCGGCTAGCTATAGGGTTCCCCAGACAGGGACGTTTCATTACATCATCGCTGGATTTGGGGTCATTTACCCGAATTTACCTGATGGCCACTCACACTCTAGTGACTTAGATGAGGACAGGAAGCTGGCGGTTTGTCAAAGGTCCCTCAACCCCCCATTTGTCCTGATGATTTTATCACGTTGCTTCCATAATTGCCATATTACATTGTTTCAGTAGTACAGTGTTCTTCTGTCCAGTTGAGAGTAAATAATACAGCTACTTGATATAAATACGATTACACTAACCTTCATGTTCAATTGTTTTCCTCTCAGGCGAGCTGTCTACATGGAGTAACTGTGACACAGGCCCTTACAGCCTTAACCAGGGCTGAGCTTACATAACAGCCCGGTTACAATTGGTGTCTCCTACTCTGGGATAGATTTTGTACTAACATCTTGTAGAAGGTGATTGACCCAGCTCCGACCGTATCTTATGACGATAGCGTCTTTAAAGCACTGTTCAAAATCAGCTCAATCGCCTGAAATCTGTTAAAATAAAGCAAATATAATTGTTTTAATTTCAAACTATCATTACAGTAATATGATAGGTGTTGTTTATTTAGGAGTTTATAGTTTATAATATTATTGATTTATAATAATTATAGTAGTTTATAATAGAGAGTAATCACACTAACGTGACTGCATCAATGAGAAAATCCGTAGGAGCAGTGATGAGGGATCGAACCTATGCGGTGGGTGTTCCCACGCACACACTTCTGCTGGGAACTAGACCATGATATGGTATAAGTATTGCAACCTGGAGTTCTACTTAACCCCACAAGGATTTCTTGAGGCTTCCACTGAAGCCGGAACGGATTTTCACACAATCCCTCCCCCCTCCCCTGTACTCTGGCTCTGTCAACTAGGAATGTTCTACCTCTGACGCTCCTTTTTCAATGAAGATTGAAAGACGATTGATGGCACTCCCCACTGAATGAGGGGGGAGGTTGCAGGATAAACATTTCAACTGTGACTCTAGCTCTCCACATATGTCACTTGCTTTATTTAGAAACTGTACTTGTGGTCGATCTCGAGCCCATTGTTGATGTAACAATGTGCATTGAATTTTGTAACTAGCTCATCAAGATTGTAACTTGCTTAGCTAAATGAATTGTGGGGTTCAGTCCCTTATGTGCCTCTGTAACTCTTTCCACTACCGCCCACAAGATGGGTATGGGGTGCATAATAAATGAACTAAACTAATTTCACCCACGTACTTCAAATATAAATATTTTCCAACAGAACCTAAACACCTAACCTATTCACCCACAAGGGTATAAATCCATAGAACCGCCTACTCGCCAAAGCCACAAATGCCAAAACCCTATTACATTTTAAAATCCAACTGGAAAGATTATCAAGGCAATTGGGGAGACCTTCGACAAGTCGCTGGCTACCTGTCCTCGTCGAGGCCAATAGTGTCACTCAGGTAAATATTGACCAATAATTTGTATACGAAATGTACAAATTATTATGCGAAATATTTAGGTACGCTCCGTCTTGTATACGATGTGTCTTTTATGGTTAAATAGAGAAAACGGTATAAACCTTTAGGGTAGGATTATACACTGAGGTTAGGCTGTGTTATACTCAGTTAGACTGGGTTAGGTTAGGTTAGGTTAGGTTAGGGTAGGTCGGTTTAGAGTAGGTTAGGGTAAGTAGGTTTTAAAAATCCGTTAGCGAACCGTTTAGTGTACGAAGTGTGGTGCGAGTCAGCTGGTGGCTGGGAGCAGACGACGCCAGGGCTGGGAACAGGCAGGTGGCTCCTGCTGTATCTTCACCTACTGTATCAAGAACACCTGCTGCTTCCTCTGTAATGTGGTTATTGGTACATGAGCGGTACGTTTTTGTGGAATTTATCTATGAAAATGCATTGAAAGATTGCTCCATGTGGCCTAGAGTCTTGCAGAGCTGCTCTACCTTACCTACACCCGACTCCTCTCATAGCCTCCTGCGGCCCACTGATTCTTTAATCACTACTGCGGATTAGGACGACGAGGCTTTCGGTTAGTCGTCACCTGGTGTCTCCTGACTGGCAGTAGCAGGTCAGGAAGGTGGAGTGGAACACCTGCCTGAGGACATGTTGCTCGTGGCCTGGTGCTCTAGCTGCCCCTCACCCATCAACAATAACAACGCTTCCTCTTAATAATAATAATAATATTTTATTTAGGAAAAGTAAATACATAGATGCAGAGTTACAAACGTTCTGATTGATTTATAGATAGAGCTAGTACATACAATACCTAAAGCCACTAGTACGTTTTGGGCTCTTGTTTTCTTGAAAACTTCTGCAAGATACAGGCGGAAAAACCTCCTTAGCACTTATAAATAATTTTCTCGATGCACAGAATAAAGGGTTTAGAATATCTTTTGTATGTCTTCCATTTCGTTAATGTTAATTCCATAGCTCTGCTTGGACTTAGCTGGGTTAAATTAGCATGCAACAAGGATGATGTTGAACTAGACCCACGTATCCTCTGTTTGTTAAGATAATATTGCTTCAAACATTGATGTCTAATAGGACAGAAATCACACTGAAAGAACCACTGTAAAATGTTAGGATTTTAGCTCTGAAGCTTATGTATATGGGCAGCATAAAATGTGCACCAGACTGTGCAGACAACTGTAGCTGGGGTCAGTTTGGGGTAGTTACCTGTGGATTGACACGATGTCCTGTTTCTATTAATGGGTCCTTGGATTAGGTTCAAGAAATTTAATTCGTCATTCTAGCAATGCTGTGAATGCTTAAGAGGTCAGGCTGTATATACAGCTTGGTATATCCAATAATTAACCATGAAGTGTTCATGGACACTTAAAGCTAATTTAGTTGAATATATAAATCAATCTGTTACACTGTACTATATTTTGTTTATAATTGAATAATTCGTTGTCGGGGGACAGGAAGCCAGGTTATTCATGCGGTACATGTTAGGCTTATATCAAGCCCCCCCCTCCTCATAGAGTCAAATTACTGACTCTTTCCAGGATGCAACCCCCCACAACAAGCTGACCAACTCCTGAGTACTAATTTAATGCTAGGTGGACAGGGGTATAAAGTGAAAGGAAACACGCCCAACCATTTCTGAAACCCATCCTCAGACCAAGTCCATTCCATCCATTGGTCGACCTCAAAGACGCATTGATAAATTTTAACAGGCTGTTCATTCAAAATAGGAATTTTCTCAAATATTAATTATATTATTTTATATAAGCATATTGTGTATATTTAGACATTGGTTAGGTTAGGTGTTTAAGTTCTGTTGGTTATTATTTGGATTTGTTGTACATGGGTGAAGCATTTACAGCACTATGGTTCAAACAGATGTCGTCAGCGAAGCACTTGTTCTGGAAGTGTTCGGACATCATCAGTTGTGAGTCGTGTGTAAACCATTTTTCATTCATAAACGGGGTTTGGTGGGTGCATGGAATGGACGTTGGCCTGGTTTGAGGATGGACTGATTTCTGTGCTGCCCAGAATTCGAACCTAGACATTCTCGATTGTGAGTCGAGAGGAAACGTGACTGTACTATTGGGACCCTCATAAGTGGCCATAGTTACAGTAACCACTCAACAATTGGCCTGAGGTCTAAATGTCACACTGCTTAAGTTTACAATAGTCCTAGGCACATTTTATTATTGATGATACCATTACCAGTTGGTAAGGAAATCCACTTTTAAATGCTCACCAGTGCACTTGACAGATCCATGGAGTGTTACACTATTTGGTTACAAGATGGCACAACCAAATATAGTATTGTACAAAGATTCATCAATATTCAGATCAAAATCAGAACACCATTTTAGAATATTGTGATAATTTGTTGATAATTATTATAAATAGTAATTTCTTAAAATTTCAGACACTGTACTGTAATGACTGTTTGAAAAGTGCAACTGATGGAAAAGGCCCCCATTTAATTCCAAGACATGAGTCGCAAGGATCCTGATTTCTCCACCTCCCTACTGGTAAATTGTATTTTTAGATACTGTACATGCCAAAATAATTTACAGCACCATTGCTACTGTACTTTTGTTATTTCTGATGCCTTACTTTGGTAATTACTACTAACTTATATTAGTAGCATAGTCTTAAAAATTAAGAACATCTGTATAAAAGTAAGTCATCCAATTTCAATCAAACTTTATTGACTAATGGTAGATGAACAGGCTTCCAACTGGTGCAAGTTTCACCATCACAGCCTAAATAGAAAGGGAGATGAGAACAACGTAAATTTCATAAATTTTCAACATCAAAAATTATCAAAACACAAAATTAAACCTGAATAATTTCAATGACACTTAGTTATCACAATAGCATCTAGTCTTCAATACAGTAATTATTGATATTTTTATCAATATGTTGAGTTTTACTACAATAATATTTAAGGCCCTTCCCCCCCACACATTATGTGCCAAACTGATGTACAGTACTGTACTGTATATGAATATTTATTAAATAAGTTTATGGACTAATTAACAAAATACTAAATAATATTTGTAGAGGTATACATATAATACACGCTACATATAAGGTGTTAATTTAATGAAAGTGTAATAATTGAAATGATTGAGTCAGGTTGAAATTGAAAAACCTTAAAAATAACAAATGAAATCAAAGATTCTGCCACCTGTGGCTGAGGTTGACATTGACCGATTTCTTTCAAACTTGGCACCCTTAGAGATAGGCATGCATTCTCCAAGGTGTAAAAGTTCCGGGCAAATTACCTAATGAAGAAGAATGACAAAAAATTCTAACACATTTACATAATAATTTTTTTACATTTGGCAGCACATTTACTTGAATGTAATAATAACAAAATATAACACTAGAACATACTAACCCATTATAATTGGTCCAAAATGTGAGTCCTCCAGATGGTGCTGCAGTGATACCAATAGGTGCCAGCCACATTACTATAGCTATCCACCCACACCCTCCTCATCAATGCTAGTTACCAATGAACATAAAAATATTATGTATGCCAACTTTATTCTAATTTATTACAAAAAATTAAGTGTTTTATAAAAGTTTGATGCATTACCTTTCTGCTTAACCCAGCCACCGGGAGCGGAAGGGGGACCATCAGATGGTGCAAAATTGCCCATAGTTACGTAAGTTTTCATCATAGAGATATGGGAGTCGCCACGTGGTAGCATATCCCAATACAGTACTTTTATACAATATAGATTTTTCTGAATTTTTTTTTTCAGAAATATACCCCTTAATTAAAGTCAGATATTCATAAAATCTGACTGTCTACACTTCTGAGGGAAACTTTAAACATTAAAGAATTTCAAATGCTGATTTAGCTGTCACACAAATAAAGCAGTTGTCACTTGCATGCATTGAGAAACAAAAATCTAGGATGAAAGTGAAGATTGCTCTTAGCTGGTATATACAATACTGTACATGTCGGGAGAACAGAAGGAAATAATAGGCATAAAGCAAAAACCCACAAGAATGGTAAAGAGAAGGCAGTGCTGTAGTCAGCAAAAGTAAAGTATTTTTTTATTGGTTTTATAAATATTTTGTTATACTGTAAATAAAACAAGTAATAAGACTAATGAGATAATAGGAATATATAAGGTAATAACATAACAACGTAGGATAAAAAACCACACCTATGTATTTTATGTAAAGATTGTCTTCACACTCTCCTGAGTGCTTTATCAAGGTCTGAGTACTGTATATCGTTAGGTCGAGACTTGCATCTCGACGACTAATACAGTTGCTACCCTGGATCCAGTCTTCTTATCCTTCTTGACCTCCTGACCATGTCACATCTATTTCCGACTGCCAATGTGCCCTCGGATGTTTTCTATGGAATTATCAATTGTCCTTTTTATCCTGGTATTCTGAGAACTGGAGTTGTTATTAATAAAGGTATTCGTCTGGATGCTATCCCTTGTAATCCCCCCCATACCCAACAGAGTGGGTATGGAGGGAGTGCATACCCTCTCTTCTTTTGAATCTTTGAGTCAGAGATTCAAATCTCCTTTGAATTTGACAGGAATCTTTCTCTCTTGCCTTGTAGAGAGATTCTTGTTCTGGTACTATGTAGGCTATAGGTCAGTCTCAGCCTTGGTGTGATTTCCTAAGTAATCCATAATTATATTCTTCTATCAGATTTCAGTATGGATGAGCTGGGACATAATAGATTACATGTTCAGGGCTAAAATGATACTGTAATATGAATTGTCAGAACTCATTCACTGTTTATATTTCAGGCTGGTGGAATGTCGGGGATGGCAACAGATATTGTACTCTTCCCTCTTGATACTCTAAAGACTCGTCTACAAAGTGAAGCAGGCTTTAGGGCCTCTGGAGGGTTTCGAGGGATTTACAGTGGTTTAGGTCCTGCTGCTCTTGCCTCTGCACCAAGTGGTTTGTTAATTCTTAAGTTACCATTTTGAATAATTTTGTAAAAATATTGTTAACGTATTACATGCTGAATGCTATATTGGTTTGTTGGATTGCAATAAAGTACAAGAGCATTGATAAAGTGCAGTCCCCTAGTTCAGTTAGTCATTTTATTTTTGGGTAGCCCTTTCAGTAGCTCCCTTGTCTTATGTCCTGGCCGTTACCGGTGGTTCTAGCCAGTACAAGGTACCTGTTGGAGACATTTGACCAACAAGGATATGGGCCCTTGCAAGTTTCCTATGTTTTCTCTGGAGTAGAGACCAATGACCAATCCAATGGTCAACCATACAAAAAAAACATGGAGGAGAGGCCACAAAACACTCAATTTCCATTATATAAATATTTTGGGAAATACTGAATTGCCAAAATAAAGCTAGCACTTAACAATCGAGTGCATCTCTCTATTTTGTTTCCTTTGATACCTGTTGGATTTGGGGTGCTTTGCAGCAATCAGTTTTTCTATATGGTGTCCTGGGTTCTTCAGCTTTGCCACCAAATCTAAATGGCTCCCCCAGATTGGCTCTAGAATTTTTATTTAGTGTTCTGGTAGCTTCCAGTTGGTGGTAGCTTGCAGTTGGGATAGTGCTTTTGTGCATCCCTCTCCAACTGAAGTGGGCTTTCAGCTCTGTCCAGGTGACCTCTTGATGGTTCATTGTCGTAACACGGTTAGGGGTTTTCCCTCTCCTACCTCTCTCTCCTTTGCAATGAGGTGGATAGCCTTTGTGGCAGGTCTAGTTTCTCAGAGGTTTGGCTTCTGTGTTAATACTTCTGGCTAGCTCAACAGTTGTCACAGTTGGGGACACATGTTACAACTACATAAGTTTGATTGGAGGGGTGCATTTGGCATTTGCAATGGATGTCTTTTGCTTGGTTGGTTCCAGGGATGGTTCATTTCACTGTTCCAATGCTTCTCATGTTCCAGTTTGAAGAGTTTTTTAATGGTCTTTTTATTCAGAGTTCTTGTGGCTTGCTCAACCATACTGTTTTGTCCTGTTGTTATTCTCCTATGGCCTTTTCAAGGCTTTGCTCTTGCATGCAATCAATGACCTGTGCCTTCTTGAGAGCTCATGGCCCTCTGTCTTCTCATGTGGAGTCTCTGGAATTGCTGTCCTATAACCTATGTGGCATGCTGCAGGCAGCAGACCTCCTGTGTTCTTATTACCAGCAGTCTGCTGTGGCATGGAGGATATTTTACCAATTCTTTCCTCTACCCCAGATTTCTTGTTTGTTCCACTTTCAACCACCTGTTATTCTCCTCATGCTAGTGTGGTCTCTGGCTAGGGTATCGAGTTCTGGTCTTGTATCTGGGTGTCTCGTTCCCAGGCAGTGTTGATCCAGGCAACATTTCAGTTGTCCATTGCTTTTAGTAACTGTAAGTGCACAATGTTGCACGTTTGATACCTGCATTTTCTAACTTCTCTTCATTTGCTAGCTACTACTACTACTCTTTATTGGTTATGCATGAAGTGACTGTTTGTCCGGACCTCTGGGTATTGTAGTCTGCTGTGGGCATGCATGTGTTGGTAGTTCATCACCATCCTGGACCACAAGTACTTGTTGTTGCTCTCTTTCACTCTGGGATGCCTTATTTTCAGTTTATTACAAATTGTTGCATATGGTCCAGTATGGCCAGGCTGTTGTTTTTCCCAGTTTCCATGCTATTCAGATCTACATCTCAGTATGTGGCACTTAGCAGATAAGTGGCTAGGCAGCTAGCAATATGACTAGCTAACCAGGCAGCTAGCCAGATCAACTCGAGACCTTTCGTTACTACTTCTGTGCATGAATTTATGGTCCCTCTATGTTGGGCTGTATTTCCTACATGGTTCACCTGATACAGATGTAAATACTGACTGCTGTTGTTTATCTGGACTATATGGGAAGGACGCCCTCACTGGATAATCCAGACATCCGGATAAACAGGAATTCTTACAGGGAAAATCCAGATATGAACATAAGCAATTTTTTGTGCCACAACCAACATAATTTGAATTTCCACACTATAATTAAAAAATATAATTTAAAATTGAAGCTTTAGCTTACCTTGTCGTAGTTCATCTTCTTGATTAATTATGTAGATCTTGAAATGTGTATTCTTGAAAATTTATCTAGCTTAATGAAATACTAAAATTACTGCATCTGAGCTTGGCAAGTTCAGTTTTGACTGCCAGCTGCTGAAGCATCACTCGTTGAAGGCTCTCTACTTTCTGGTGAAGCTTCACTTTTCCTCTTGACAATATTGTGCCTCATTTTAAACTATGAATGCTAACCATCACTTGCCTTGAAATCCTATATTCCAAAACTGGCTACAAACCTGCTTGCAGCATTTCTTATTTCTGCACCATGAATTGTCACAACTGTGCCGTGCTGTGCACACCACTTACACAGCCTCTTCCAACTGTACATTCTGTGCAGGCTTCAAAGTTTTACTGTTAAACCCTCTGCTAGTGCTTGCACCCTCACGCTCACTGGTTGCTATGTATTTCCTGTATTCATCTTTGTTTCTTTATATCAGCGACAGTATTAGTGCCCATACTGAAATCCTTTGCAATACTCACAACTGACTGACCATTTTTACAGTTCAGTGATATGGAACTTATTTTTAATGGTTAGCACAATCTTCCTCTTAATACCTCCTGGATGATTGATATTGCTACCAGACACAGTCTTGGCAATAAATTATCAGTTACTATGAAAACAAAAGTTATTTAAGACAATTTTTCACGTAAGGTATAATAAGTGGTATTATACCTTCACTGGTATAATGTGATGGTAAACAGCATAATGTGACGGTAAACAGCACATGGTTTGTTCAGCTTAAAGAGCCTGGATAGATCCAGTTTGGGCAAGCAGGCATGTCATGTAGACTGATGGGCAGAAAAAGAAAATCCTCTAATTTTAGCAGGGAACTACACCGCCAGCCTGTACAGTACACACTCCAGCCTTTTTAAGAATTTATTTATTATATTAGATATTTCTTTATTTTTTATTTTAATGAATTGTTTTTATGTAATTTTTGGTTACACAGTATTTATAGACTTCTCACATGCTTCTTATCCTCCAGATGAGAATCCCTGACACCTGACTATTTCGACACTAGTCACCCCAACACCTCCACATACCTTGTGCCTCGGGCTACTACTGTACAGGATTATTACTGTATGGCTCTATGCTGTTCTCACTTTTCCGGCTAAATCCCCAATTTTCTGGGTTTTTGTCTGGACGTAGTGAAGTTTCCCAGAAAATTATCCGGATGCAATTTTGGCTGGATAACCCAAATATCTATTTAAAGATGCTCATATAGTACTGTATTCTCGAGTCAAAGATGATAGTTTGCACTTTAACCTCATGGACTTTTTCATTGAAAATCTAAACTTTTGGATTACAGAGCCAAGACAACAAACATTTTTTCATGGTACAAATGCTTATGGACCTCGGTGAACTTTACATACATTACTAAATTTGTTTATAGTATGCAAATCTTTTACCAAGATATTTAAAATGCGATTCTTACATAGATATTATATTTTCAGCTGCATTATTTTTTTCCACCTATGAGACCATGAAGAGGTTATTAGGAGCCCATGCATCACAGAATTACATGCCTGCAGTTCATATGGCTGCAGCTGTTTCTGGGGAAGTTGTAAGTAAAACAATGTTATTGTTATACAGTGGTACCTCTGTTTTCAAATTTAATCCAATCCCAGAGATGGTTCGACAACTGAAAATTTTGAAACCAGAAACGAATTTTCCCATAAGAAATACAATGTCGCCTTGATTTACGACTGCCCCTGCTTGTGAATTTTTCGAGTTACGACCCCAATTTTGTCAAAAAATGCGACTCGACTTACAACCTTTGCCTTGACTAGACTTTGTTGATACACGTATGGGTCGACCGAGTGCGTGGTTCCTGGTGGCACGGGCGACCCCACCTCGGTTTACCAGAGCCGCTCACTTTGTGACAATTGTGCTTGTAAAGAATTTCATTGTTTTTGTGCTTTTTTTGTTTTTTGAACATAAAAGTAATTACAGTATTATATATCATGCCATGGGTTCCAAGAAAGTCAGTAGTAAGGTTCAACCTAAGAAAATAGTTAAGTAGAGGCAGTAGAGAATGTCCTTTCCTCATTAAAAAAAATGTGTGAAGTATGGGAAGAACTGCAAAGTTTTGTTGAAAAACTCACCCAGATAAAGCTGTAGCAAGCCATTGCATTGACCTTGGCATACGTTTTGCAGGCATACCACTAGGACCTGGTTGTGGTTCACTGCTTGCTTGTCTTACTAAGAATCTGTCTAAAGACACTTGTTTTCCCCTATATTTTAACATTTGTCTGTAGTGAGATTTATTCACTATGAATGATCTCTTGTTTTTCCTTTATTGTCATCCTCACAACTACCCTGTATTTTCTAAGGTTGAGCTTTACCACTGATTTTCTTAGGACCCATAGTGTGATGTATTATAATTACTTTTATGTTCAGAAACAAACAAAAAAAGCACAAAAACGATGAAATTCTTCACTAAGAATTCAAGCGCCGTCATCGTCACTAAGCGGGACACTGGTAAACTGAGGCACGCCACGCACTTGATCGACCCATACATGGTATCATCAAATTCAAGAAGTGAGGCAAACCTTGAATACAGAGTCAAATTTTACAAAGAACTTGAGCTCGAAAACCAAAAAATTTGAAAAGAGGGGCATTCGAAAACCGAGGTTCCACTGTAACATGAAAACATGAGCTTGTAAATAATCAAGATCTCTTATGAACATCCATAATGGCAGTTCTTACTTTATATTCAACTATAAAAGCAAGTCGGCCATATTATTCAAGACATCTGTCCATGCTTTATTTGCATCTGTTATCCTCAAAAAGAACTTAATTTTTTAGACTAATAAGTATTGTGTGTGTGTGTGTCTTTCAAACAATATACTTTGCACAATTCATACACTCCTTTTAGGCATAGGTTCTAGCACTGTACTACTGTTAACATGTGAATTTTTTCATTTGTGCCCGTACTGTATTTATATCACTGATGTGTATCAACATGCAGTAATTTAGGTTGTATCGTTCTTTTCATCAAACCCACATATGATGCTTTTACTGTATTTGCTTATGATGCAATGACGTTATTGTCAAATCACGATTTGGTCTTTTGTGCCAGTGTTTTGAATAGATGCATGGATGACATTCCCAGACAAAATTGCTGCAAAGAAGTGGGTGGCAAGAAACTCCCTTTTAGAAGAAAAAAAATGATAGCATAGATAATTAGTGTGAAGTTGGCAAGAGCAAATGTTGAGGGAATGGTTTGGGACATAAGGCAAGAGGTTTGAATATTTACAGAAGGGCAGCAAAATCAAAGTGGACAGTAGAGGAGGATGTGTAAGAAAGATACCATTGTACAGACCAACAAAACATACAAACTACAATGTTTAGAAAAGTGTATCCGTGTAACAGACTTTAAAAGCTATTGTTTTATCTTCTTTCATCAAGATATCCTTCATATTTTAGGCTTCGTGTACAATCAGAGTACCAACTGAGTTGGTCAAGCAGAGAAGACAAGCACAGATTTATCAGTCTTCCATCAGAGTTATTCAAGATATCTTTAAATATGAAGGATTCAAAGGCTTCTTCCGTGGATACTTCAGTACTGTGGCAAGAGATATACCATTCTCACTCATTCAGTTTCCTTTATGGGAAATACTGAAGAAACAATGGTCACATGCTCAGGGATATTATGTCGATTCATGGCAAGCATCCCTTTGTGGAGCATTTGCAGGTTAGTAAACATTATTATTTATTATAATTATTTTAAATTCATACTACTGTAATTTACTATAAATGAAAAAGGTCACCCCAGTCATTTCCATTATTAATGGTTCTTGGCCTATACTAACATTGCTGTACACTTGGTCTGGTCTATTAACCGGCTTTTTTTTTTTTTTTTATCGTTTTCTTTCTTGTTTCTTTGCATCTGTTCTCACTTGTATGCGATTGCTGAGAGAGGTCCTCGGGCGTCTACTCTCTCTTGCCCTTTGGAGTGTATGCAAGAGGAATGTTTATGACAACCTGAAAGGTTCTGTTAATTAGGAAGTTTTCATAGAGGTTAGCCTTCTTCCAGATTAGTGGCTAGGTTTGTTAACCAATGCATGCGTGGAAGGGGGCTGCATGTGGAAAAAGTGCACATTTTTAAGAATGCAAGTACATATGGTACCTACACAATCTCACCTCACTTTGTTTTTTACAATACAGTACTGTATATCACCTTTCAAATTATTAAATTTAAAGTTAATTATCACTTACCTAGAATGTAAGTTTGACTTGGATTGATATACACCTGATTGATATTACATAAATATTAGAAAGAACTTTTTTAGTGTCAGAGTGGTTGACAAATGGAATGCATTAGGAAGTGATGTGGTGGAGGCTGACTCCATACACAGTTTCAAGTGTAGATATGATAGAGCCCGATAGGCTCAGGAACCTGTACACCTGTTGATTGACGGTTGAGAGGCAGGACCAAAGAGCCAGAGCTCAACCCCCGCAAGCACAATTAGGTGAGTAGGCAAGTACCTGTTTAGTCTATGTAATGTAATGATCTGTACAAGTTGTTAGTAATTAAGTTTCTGATAATGACAATGTCTACATGCTATGCTGTTATTCTGACTCTTATGTAATAAAGGTAATGTCATTTTTATGTAACCTTTCCCAAATATAAATGTACAACCTCATAAAAGTTTTTGATTATTTTGGTCTTGGCGGTGGTCAACATTCCTTCTGGCATTAGTCAGGATTGTTGTGATGGGAGCCAGGACCAAAAAATTTTTTTATTTTTTTTAGTTTTCATATGAAGTACATTCAACATTAAGAACTCTGTATGCAAACATAAAAAAAGAATACAAACCATCTTGTACAGGGAAGATCTTTGTGATGGCTCATGGAGACCAGTTGAATTACATTCGTCTCCACATAATTTTCTCAAAACAACTGGGAGACACCATTGAGTTATGCGACTTGTATGTATGTAAACACAGAAATCGCAATAACGTGATGCATCAAATGAACAAATCCACAAGGGCCGTGACGAGGATTCGAACCTGCGTCCGGGAGCATCCCAGACTATACTTTAATCAACTGAGCTACGACATGGCCAAAAGAGTTGAAACCGAATTAAGGCAGCGTCTGGGATGCTCCCGGATGCAGGTTCGAATCCTCGTCACGGCCCTTGTGGATTTGTTCACTTGTATGTATGTATGTATGTACCAGGCAATATCGGTATTCAAACATTAACACAATGTAAATTGTCATGAAATGATGACTACATTTCACTAGACAATCAACACATGATCATGACTGCACTTTGAGGATTAGTCTATTTCCCAGACTAACTGATGATTTGGTTTTTCTTGGGTGCTCTGGCACTCTTTAACACCTAATGTGTTAACCATTCCCTACACCACTGTCTGGATAGCCAGTAACATGGTGGAAAACTACACTAATTGTACATTCATCACCCTCTTCCCAAGCACACACTGTAGAGGTCAGAGTTAGGAACCAGAAAATCTTTAAATTCCAGATAGTGCTTTTATCTTTACATAGTGAATTTCAATAGAGAAAAATTCATCCAGGGTATTTTTTAGTCTTCAAATTTTCATGAAGTACTGATGATCAGACAAGCAATTGTATAGGATACAACAAACATTTATTACATACTTAAATATCTTTTTCAATATTATAATCTGCATATGATCCAGATTGAAGTCAAGGTAATTGATCTCAGTTTGAATGATAGCACAAAATTACCGTAAGATTTAAGTGTTGATTTTGCCCTAAAAACTCTTAATCCATTTCATTCCAATTTGGGTGATACCACTTCATTTGTTTTTCAGGTGGGGTTTCTGCAGCTCTGACCACACCTCTGGATGTTGCAAAAACTAGAATTATGCTAGCAGAGCGCTCCAGCAGTGTAGCTAAAGGGAGCATACTTGATGCAATCAAAATGGTATACAAACAACATGGAGTGCCAGGGTAAATATTTAGTTTGATTTATTTTCAGCGCCATAATTTTGACAAGTTGAGCTCCAAAGTCCATTCCATGCACCCGCCAAACCCCGTTTATAAATGAAAAACGGTTTACACACGACTCGCAACTGGTGACAACTGAACACTTCCAGAACAAGTGCTTCGCTGACGACTTTTGTTCGAACCACGACGCTGTAAATACTTCACCCACATACTACAAATATTCGGCAACAGAACCTAAACACCTAACCTAACCAGTGCTTAAATATGCTAATATTAATTTATTTTTAAGAAGTTCTATTTTGAATGAACAGAATGTTAAAATTGATGAATGCATCTTTGGGGTCGACTGTTTGATAGAATGGACTTATCCGAGGACGGGTTGGAGCTAGTTACAAAATTCAATGCACATCGTCTCATCAATAATGGGCTTGAAACAGACCACATCTAGTTTCTAAATTAAGCAACCGACATTAGTTCTCCACTTATGTCGCAATTGACAAGTTTATCCTGCACACCACTCCCATCCAGTGGGCAGGGGTGGAGAGGTTGCTAACTGCAGGTATCCGAGTAATTATAAACAGAATATTTGAATAAAAATTTCTGGTAGCAGATCATCTAGGTGTGATGATTTTATTGGATGATCCATAGATGTGTGGCTCTTCTTGCATGACAGTATGATAGATAGAATTACTGGCTACCAAGGGTCCACCAGAAAAGTTTCATTACAGTACTTTTAACACTTCTTTTTATTCCAGGCTCTTCTCTGGAGTTATACCACGTACCCTTTGGACCTCTATTGGTGGCGCTGTTTTCTTTGGTGTCTATGAAAAAGCCAAAGCTATTGTATGTTGATGCAGTGTGTAATATATACAATTTATATAACATATTTAGGTTTTAAATAATGGGTAAAAAGTATTAAATAGGCAAAGATTTGGTACATAGGAAAAAGATCAAGAAGTACAAATGGTAAATATGCTGTATATGAACAAGCTGCAGTGTGATGTAGAGAAAATTGAAAAGGAAAATGAAGCAGAATATACAAAGGATATTCAGATTTGTACTTCTCCCAGTCCCAACATGGCTGAAAAATGATTAAATTTGTATTTAGTTGTGTGCTAAAGGATGAACTCTTATTTGAAAGCAGATTTTATAATTAAGCCTTAAGGTGAAAGAATTACTTATTTTTTATTAAACTGTCATTATGTATATTTAAAAGTGCTTTATTTTGTTCAGACTGTCGTAAAAAAAAAATCCAGTGTACAGTATTTATATTAAAGAACAGTTACAATTATTTTTCTTTTATCACAACATTTGAAAAACCTAGGACAGTGATCTCGTCTATCTCCTCGCTAAAGAGGTTATCCGCATTTGTCCCATTTCCCGCAAAATCTGTGTCCGTTGGTCTTTTAGTACTGTAGATCATAATCCAAAGTCTGAAAACCATAACACAGTAAATTCACACTTGCAACACATGAGGTCATCCACCACTGGTTACAGTGGTAGGAGGAAGGCCAAGGGAACAGGCTACCCTTACGAGCATACAGTTTGTTACCAGTAACACAAGACAAATGACCTTGCCAATGGTTACATATTGAGGAATGAATGGGTAGAAATTGGAATAAGGAGCACATTTTTGGGGAAATAGAACAAGTGTGGATAACAACCTTCTACCTGGATGATGCTCTGGGAGGAGTTCTAGTCCCGAAAGCCCGGCTTGGGGCCAGGCTCGATTTGTGAGAGCTTGGTCCCTCGTTAGCAGCAGTGTCTGCATCCTCATTTAAGGCAATACCAATATGACTGGAAACCCAGCAAAACTCAATCTGCTAGAGATTAGAAATGACCAACATTTGATTTTGACTACCACAGGATGCATAGGATTAAATAACACCAAAGCATTGAGAGCACTAAGCAACCCGTTCTCGCAAATTTAATAAGTCTATATTGACTTATTAAATATGTGCATAGGTGACATACTTAACATAATAGATACCCTTAAAAAGATTCATAGAAAACACCGACCTTACCTAACCTTGTTAGTATCTTAAGATAAGCATCTTATTACTTCGTAATTACAATTATTACCTAACCTATAATAGGTATAGGTTAAGTAATAATTGTAATTACGAAGCAATAAGATGCTTATCTTAAGATACTAACAAGGTTAGGTAAGGTCGGTGTTTTCTATGAATCTTTTTAGGGGTATCTATTATGTTTAGTATATCACCTATGCACGTAGTTAATAAGTCAATATTGACTTTACGAATTTGCGAGAACGGGTTGCGGGACCAACAGAATGTGAGTGTGAAGAAAATGTTAAATGAAAGGGCATTTCAGAACAATTGGAGGGGGGTACCAGCCTTTACCACATGGGTCAAAGACTTGCAAATCTTTACAAGTGGGACCCACCATAGAGGTAAGGATGGAATGACACAAGACATTGCTAACACAAATCAAAAGGGAGGTTTCAATTTATGATTGTTTGTAATAGAGAAAACCTAAGAAAAAAAAAGGAAGGCAATGGAAGGGAACAGGAGCAACAGCCAAATCCTGACAAATGCATAAATGAGGATGTTGCAGACCTTGCGAGGTAGCAAAGGCAGTAATGATCCCGAAGATCCTGTAGTGACAAGATGTCTGTTTCAACGTACAAACTCTGGATAGGTGATGAATGAAAGGCACCAGAGCCGAGGCAAAACCTAATTAAAGGTTGTGTAGAGTGACATTATGTACATAGAGAAACCAGACTCAAAATAAAGTTTTTTTAATGATGAAATATATTACCAGATGTGTATAGCTTATACGCTTCTTGAAGTGTGTGAGAAAACTGAAAGGTAGAAGATAATTACAAAATACAGACAAGACAAAATTGTGCACTTCTAATAAAATGGCTAAATTGTATCTAACGAATGTGTATTAAACTATACAGTAATGTTGTGCTGCTAAAGAACACCTATTTAGAGGATTTGTATACCCCCCTCCTCTCACATAGGCCAGTAGGTTCCACGAGTAACCTATGCTAAATGAGCATAGGTTTGCTTTAATGATAAATGATTTTCTTCCCATCTTGTCAAAATTTTTAAAAATATACAGTATATTTTTTGTATTACAATGAAGGATATTAAAACTGTATTTTGTTTTGCCCAAATATTGTACAATTTAAATATATTAGGAACTTTACTCTTTCAACTCATTACAATCTGCAATTGTCACCATCTTGGAAGGTTTTCCAGAACGAGATCCAAATCCTTCTACTGTTTTCACAACATCCATTCCCTCTACAACTTTTCCAAATACAACATGTGCACCATCTAACCAAGGGCAAGCTACAGTAGTCAAGAAGAACTGTGATCCATTTGTGTTTGGCCCAGCATTGGCCATAGACAAGATGCCTGGCTCTGTGTGCTTCAGCTGAAAGTTTTCATCTCTGAAATACAAATGGCCCATATTACACTTTTTATATATATATATATAAAAGTCATGAAAGTGAAAATATTAAGACTATGTTAGTGAAAGGAATGTGTTGTTATCAGTCTTCTGGAGATTGCAGATTAAGAGTATTGTATTACTATATTTTACTTATAAAATATGGTTACAGTAACAGGAGGCAACATTTCTGGAAACCCTCAAAGCCTACAGTTTTAGATTAAAGTAAGTAATTATCAAAAGAAGGCACAAAGCTGGGAAGGCTATGTAGCACCATCAAATGTGCAGGATAATCATAGGGCGCTAAATATCACTAAGGATGCCAACACGAGAACAAAAATGCATAAGGCGAACGATATCAAAAGTATCCGATTCACCAAGAATTCTATTGAGGGACAAGTGACCGCGAGGGACGGTCGGGAAACAAGAGACACATACGTCCTGGAAGTCAGGACATTCAACGAGGATATGCATGACTGTAAGAGGAAGAATGCAGTTTATACGAGGAGCAGAGCGGCACTTCATTAAGTGCCTGTGAATTACACATGTATGGCCAATACGTAATCTCGCCAGAGCCGTTTCCCACCACCGGTTAGGGAAGTGGTGGTAGGGAAACCCAGCAAAACTCCAATATCTTAAATCTACTGGATATAGGAAACAGCCAATGTTGAATCTTGAATTTGATCGCAGTGCTTTAAATTGAGGATGGCTTCCTCAAATTTGTAGTGTATACACACGTGGGAGAAGGTAAGGGTGGGCATCACCGCAATTGAGGCAGAGAGCCTGGGAAGAAGAGCACTCTATTTAGAATGACCCGAGTCTCCAACCATGGGGCATAGACACTGCCACTTGTGCATTTGAGGGCACCATGCCCAAATATCCAGCACTTATTGCAAAGTCTATGAGAGGGAATGTATTCCTCAATGGAGTATCTGGTACCAGCAAGAATTATAGAAGGCAGAAGGGTCCTGCTATCAAAAGTTATCTTCACAACTTGATGAGGCTGATAACGACCACGAGGAGGGTCAAGTGAACTATAAACATTTGTACTATATACTGAAATTGCTGCAACTTTAATTGCATAATAAGCACTGTCTCTTTTGAGCTTTAAATTGACCAATTAACCTAGCCGTACACTCCTCTCACAACCAATGCTGTTAATTGTTTGCAATTGTGTTGCTGGCTGCTGTTGTGTTGGCTTCTGCTGCTGCTTTGGCAGTCTTAATGTCATTGCCACCAGTTGTGATACCTAGGATGTTCTCCTAGGTAAACTGTTTATACACAACTTCGTCCAATTTCATATTTGTAGCACTTTTTATTTTCCTTTCAACCGAGGCTCGACTATCATTTGCAGTAAGGAACTCCATAATATCTGTATTTTTATTTGATATCACACAAGATACTCTTTGAATTCCATCTGCCATGTGTTGCTCTATTCACTTATTTTGTCCAGGTCATCTCATGTGTGTAATTACAGGATGAGAGCTATGCGTGTGGTGTCCTGCCTACTCAGCACTCTTTGTTATATAATGCTTTGAAATTACTGATGGTTTTGGCCCTCACTGCCTTCTCACCTAACTTGTTCCAACCGTCTACCACTCTGTTTACAAAAGTGAATTTTCTTATATTTCTCCGGCAGCTTTGTTTCGGTAGTTTAAAGCTATGACCTCTTGTTCTTGAAGTTCCGGGCCTCAGGAATTTTTCCCCTATCAATTTTATCGATTTCTGTTACTATTTTGTATGTAGTGATCATATTGCCTCTTTTTCATCTATCTTCTAGTTTTTGCATATTTAATGCCTCTAACCTCTCCTCGAGAACAGTTTTAATATACATTTTGTTGAATTAAACATTGTTACATCATCCTCATCACTTGTATTACTGTATCAGATAATTTCTCCAGCCATCTTTTAAACTGACCATGTGCTTCACCACTTCCCTATATACTGTACCTGCATTAATGAGAAAATTAATATAATATGAGAGCAGTCTACTTACCCAAATTTGGAGCCATAAATAGATTTGCCACCTGTACCATTGCCTTTGGTAAAGTCACCACCCTGGCACATAAAGTTGGGGATAATTCGATGAAATGCAGAGCCCTTAAATCCAAAACCCTGTTCTTCAGTACATAGCTGGCGAAAATTTTCTGCAGTTTTAGGTACAACATCTGAACGAAGCTGGAAAAGGAAAGAAAAAAAGTGTTAAATTTAATAACGTTCTTTTCTGGTTGGTACCCAGTGGCTCCGCTTAAGCACTGGTACCATCATGACCTTGGCTAACCACACCAAGCTTCTGAAGCTCATCTGTCACTTATCGGAAACCTGGAAAGTTTGTGAATCAAAGATTGCCCCAAAACCATAGGCAAGACAAAACAAGCAACTGCTTGATGGAAGTTAGGCACCACACAAAGCAAACAGTCATGGCTGTGGGGTCAAAAGTACCCCAAGATGCAGGCGACGAGTCACAATAACGTGGCTAAAGTATGTTGACCAGACCACACACTAGAAGGTGAAGACTTGAGAATGGTCCAGGATGGACCGAAACGTCATCGTCCCTTCACCTTCTAGTGTGTGGTCTGGTCTATCCCAAGATGCTCCTGATCACCACCAGGAGGCAGATCAGATCACCAGGGGTCTCAACCATAATCCCCCCGCCCCTCCCCTCCATCTGGAATCACTCTTGCCGAACTCCCCAAAACACGGCAGTGAAGAAATTAATGGTGGGGATGGTAAACTACTGGGAGTCCAATAGAAAAGGCCATTACACTACATTCACTGTTTAATTACTACAGCTCTGCAGCTTCCTGAACTTACTCAACAGCACCTCAGAATGGAAGGTCACCCATTCAGAGTTGGAAAGGACAGATGGGGGTGGTTATCTTATCTTGAGGTTATCTTGAGATGATTTCAGGGCTTTAGTGTCCCCATGGCCCGGTCCTCGACCAGGCCTCCACCCCCAGGAAGCAGCCCGTGACAGCTGACTAACACCCAGGTACCTATTTACTGCTAGGTAACAGGGGCATTCAGGGTGAAAGAAACTTTGCCCATTTGTTTCTGCCTCGTGCGGGAATCGAACCCGCGCCACAGAATTACGAGTCCTGCGCGCTATCCACCAGGCTACGAACAGCAGAAAAGCAACAGGACAGAGCAGCACAGCAACACCAAAATGGAGCAAGCAGCAAGGCCGAGAAGCAACCCAGAGACAAGCACCCAGGTAAAGTACCAAAAGCACTGAGTATGGAAAAGCATGGAAAAAACCTAGAATGCAAATAAAAATAAATGTTTTCTTAAAATTTGATGCACAACAAAAAAGCAAGGACAGACTGCCAGCTGACCAAGGAAAACTAACCATCTGAAGACAGTGACTAAATTCCCAGCCTCAACACTCGGGAGGGGGGGGGGGGGATTAAGTAGCCAGAAAGGTACAAGACTAGATCAAAAGTGGCAGAAACCCAGTGCTGGGAGAATAGAGAAACAACTACTGTACTTGAACCTTACCTAGCAGTGAGGACACTAACAGACTACCTCACTCAAAAACCATATTAGTGGGCCAAAACTGTGGCACGAGACGACTAGCACGGTACTAAAGCTACAACCCAACCAGTACACAGCCTCGATGGCTAATATCATTTTAACATAAAAAGAACCAAGTTCAGCAGGTGCCGGAGAAGTGGCACCTGCTGAACAAAGCCACACAGCTAACCTGACCCCAGGTCAAAATGACCTGGAAACTCCAGGCACGCTGCCAGAAACAGCCGAGCTCTGGTAATGGCTGGCAAGCAATGCAGATATTATAAGAAAGTCGTGGAAGGATAGGTTCTGCCAAGCCAACAGAGAAGAGGCGGCAGCCTTCAGTCTTCAACATGACAAATACCATAACAGCTAAAGATAGTGAAGACACCTGATGAAGGGTTAGAAATTGCTGAAAACACATGCCATACCACCTAATATTGCTGCCTTGAAGAAAGACAAATATGGGATACCAAGTGATGGGAAAGCAACTCTTAAAAACTTTGTATTTGTAGATCGGTGGAGATCTATCGACCCCACATATGTTACTGTAGCCTCTGTTTACCAAACAGTAAAATGGGTACCTGCTATTAAACAATTTGGCGGTCGTATTCCTGGGAAAAAAAATTGGGTTTAAGGACCTGCATGAAACACTATGCGTGCTAGTGGCTTCACAAGAATATAAGAACTCATATATATGATTTTGCCCAAAACGCTGTGCGTATTAGTGGCTTTAGGTATTGTATGTACTAGCTCTATCTATAAATCCAACATTATGTTTGTAACTCATCTTCTATATATGTACTTTTACCTGAATAAACATTTTGATTTGATATAAATAAAATAAAAAAGGTACATATTTTGTACGAAATGTAGACATTTATGGGTAGGGTCCACCTGGTGTACGAAGCGTCGTGACCACCCCCAGTCTGCCCCTGCCACTCCCATACTCGCCTAACTTAACCACAAAATACTAAATAAAGACGCTCGTTTAGTATACGGCTAATTGATATAGTACACGTGAGCTGGGCAACATTATATATAGGCACCGAGAGGTTTGACTATAGGCTAACTTGTTATATCTCACCTCCATCACTATACGGCCCAAAGGTTCACCGTTGGCCTCCACGTCAAAATACACTTTAGGCAACGTCGACTGACACCTGGCAGATATTCCTGCAGCTGCTGCAGCAGAAAATGCGAAGCCTGTGCCTAAAAGGCGAGCAACTGACGAGGAAAACATGGTGAAGGTGAGAGACGGCAGACGCGAGCTCCTCCACACGCCGGCTCGTATGAGGGGCCTGGCGGCTCAGTGGACAGCGTTCGGCCTTTATAATCCTAAGGGTTGATTGTTCAATAAATCCCTGAACTATATGTTTGACCGATCTCTAACCCTGTCCATGGAGGACAGAAGAAAATGTATATATATTCTGGTTAGCATTGTAAATGTGTGGCCACGTCTGTGGTAGAACAAATAATAAATTAAAAAAATTCTTAAGGGTCCGGGTTCGATCCCCGGCGGAGACGGAAACAAATAGGCAGCGTTTCTGTCACCCTGATGACCCTGTTCACCTAGCAGTAAATAGGTACCCCAGGAGTTAGCTGCTACAGTTGATCAGCTGATTGGCAGTTGAGAGGAGGGCCCAAAGAGCCGAAGCTCAACCCCACGCAAGCACAACTAGGCGAGTACCTTGGGTTGTTGTTGTTTAAGATTCAGCTACTGAAATTGAAATTTAAACTGAAATTGAAATGTTTATTGAGGTAAAATACACACAAAGGGATGAGGTAGCTCAAGCATTCAGCTCCTGGGAACAAAAAGTTGCAAGTAGCACGGGCTATGGTGAGCCCGTATTGGACTTACCTGGCACAGGAGCGGGGCTGTGACTGTACCTCGGGTTGTAGTGGGTGTTATATAACTGGTGTGGGGTGTTGATGGATGTTTCCCATGCTAAGTTTCATGCCCGAAACGTTGTGCGTATTAGTGACTTTAGGCATAGTATAATATACTTGCTCTCTAGAAATCTAACATTCTCATTGTAGCCCATTTTGTGTGTATGTACCTTTCCCCAAATGAACATTATCATTATCATTATAGAGGACAGGAAGCCTGCGGCTTGTTGAAGGTCCCCCTTCACAATTCATTTTACAAGAGTTCCAAATGAATCAGACCGTGATATGTCGTAGGAACATCGTAGGAACGTGGAACCAATTACCGCGTAACATGATAGAAGTAGGAGCCCTCGATTGTTTCAAGCGTAGGTTAGACATATATATATATATATATATATATATATGAACGAGATTGGATATAAAAAGGAGCTGCCTCGTATGGGCCAATAGGCGTTCTGCAATTACCTTCATTCTTACGAGTCTGCCTCCACCATATCACTTCCTAGTGCATTCCATTTCTTAACCACTCTGACACTGGAAAAATTCTTCCTAATGCCTCTGTGGTTCATTTGAGTACTAAATTTTCACCCCCCCCCCCTTTCCCCTTTGTTCATGTTCCACTCATGGCCCATGATAAATAGTTTGTCTTTATAAGCAGAGAGCTGTTTGGTGCCTGTTCGAACCTAGACATAAGAAAACAAGAATAAAGGTAACTGCAGAAGGTCTATTAGGCCATAGGAGGCAGCTCCTATTTATATATCCACCCTAATCTCATCATACAGTATACTGTATATGTCTAACCTACGCTTGAAACAATCAAGGGATCCTACTTCTATTATGTTGTATGATACAGTATTTGGTTCCACAAATCAACAACACTAACCTTGTTAATAAAATGAGAGCAAATTGGTTAAACATGAACGGCCATGTGTAAAATCATGTTAAGACACAAAATACATGTAGACACCTAGACCTACCTGCAAGAGCAGTCCCTCATGAGATGACCCAGCTGGTGGGAGGTCCGATGACTCGAACAGGAACCCCTACTTGGTTTCTTTGCACGTGTAATGTCTGAAAATGTGGCAAGAGATTGGGGGCAACCCCCAGTGTCCACAGTGTCGAGAGGCGCTCCATCACCACAAGGCAAAACCCTCGAAGGGGTTGGGAGTACGTCTACTTCCTAACAGCAGACCCAAAGCCCTAGGCCATAAACCTGAATACATACTTTAATATGATAGTACAGGCAATAATTTATAACAAATAATATTGCTTTATATTATTTTAAACATGACAATGCTAGTTGCTGCCATCTGATGCTTGTTTGTCTCTTATTCAAATGTGTTTCAGACCAGTCAAAATCTCATACTAGTCAGTTTTTACTCATTTATCATAAAACTGGATGAATTTATTATGAATTAAAGTGTTTACATGTTGACAAGAACAGGCAAGTGTCTGCCATCCACATTATCCATGCTTGGCTTTGCACCTAGAATGTATTTGTTTACCATTAAAGTTGTCTTTAATTATATTAAATTCGTAGCTAGTTGTAGCCAGCTTGCAGTACAGATCATTCTATCAACCACAAAGAAATTTCTGGTATGGGAAGGTAATTTCAGTCAGTCATGTTGCACTTAGATGCCAATGGTCTCTTCGGCATGTGCAAGTTGTTAATAAACAAAACATTTAATGACTGAAATTTGCAGGTTGTACACAAATTTCAATTGGGAACACAATACCAAAAAGATATACAAGACACTTGTTCAAGTTAATATTATGACATGCTTTATTTTGCTTCAAAATGATGGTATACAACAAGTGGAAAAATCACACTCCTTTAAAATAAAGTATTAAAAGAATTAACATTTTAACAACAATACAAATAGATTAATTTAAAGGAAAAAGAACTACTCTTTGTTTCAATAAATATTTATTCTTAAAACACAAATCCCTCCTCATTCTTTCAATTTGAAGCTTAATAGATAGTAGAGCGAGCCGAGTTGGTGTGGGTGAAGCAACGCGGAAGACGGGCGGTGGTGTAGGCAGCAGTGGTTTTGTTGACCTTAAGGTTATTCCATCTGCTGCCCACACGCCTACGTCCAACCAGTCACCGCTGAGTGATGGTTAGGGAGCAGGAAGGAGGCAAGGCGAGATGCTGCCAGCTATAGCCATTTGTTGGCCAGAAGTGGTAACACCCCGTCTGTAACAACAGGCCAAGGAGGGGCCGGGGTCCTTCAGGGGGGAGACTGGGGCCTTGGCCCCCCCATGCCACTGCTGCCCTGGGGCCTAAACCGCCATGCCCCCCCAGGGCCAGGGGACGACCCAGGGCGGGCAAGGCGGGAGGCATGACTAAAAGCTATAAACAGGGCAAAGTGGCAGGTAGGGTGGCACTGTGGTTTCCTCCCCCGCCCGCTGCTGCCGCGTGCAACAGATCGGCCACTTCAAAAATAAAGTCAAGTTATACTTTGGTACATACGGGGTTCTCAATTTCTTTAAACCTTAGTACAAGTCTTTTTGAATACACATCATTGATAATTACTTGTCAACACATTCTTTCAAGTCCATAAAAGTAATGATAATGAATAAAAATAATACCTTACTGGTTCTGTACATACTACAAACAATAGACAAAATGCAACCTGAAGTTAATAGAATATAACAACAAGTGTACAAACGATTGGAAGGTAAAGGCTCTTTTCAAGGGCTGTGTGTAATTATGCTAGTCTCTACTAATTATACAAGCAGCCCAACAAACATGGCAGAACCTGCAAGCAGAAGCACACGTGCCATGCGTACGTCTTATCGTACCTTACATGGCTGGGAATTGAGCTAAGTCTACGCTACAGGCAAAGTTTCATTATGAATCACTCTGCCTGCTCTGCTCAGCTGTCATCTATGGGTTTTCTCTCCCTGACCAGCTGATCCGTGTTAATCTGCCGCAATGGCCAGGTTCAGACCAGCCCAAAACAGAATGGGCTTGTCTAGTAAGAAACACCTGATGGCACAAGAGACTAGAATTTGCACACAGCCCTTTTGCTAGGGTGCGCCAAGCTTTTGGAACGTCATTGTCCATGGTCTGTTCGTTTACTCTTTGCATGTGCCCACTCACTACCTTCTCTCCACTGGAAACCCATGGAGGTTTTACCAGCCTTCTCCACACCCATACACCTAATAGTTATTATTACAGACACATATATACAAGTAACATGAGCAGTGGGCAACTGGGTTCACCCACACCCATACTGACTAGTGCTTCCGTCTACAATCACCATCATTCAACAATCACCACCATCACTCATTATCAGTAATCAACATACCATCATTGAGGACAGTATTGGACACGTTTGCAGGCACACCCTTGTGCCCAGGTTGCATTGAACACACGTCACATACAAGCATGATTATCAGTAAATGGCTAGTGATACTCAAAAATACCGGTCTAGGCTCACTTTCGCATAAGCCACAAGAGTCTTAAGTCTCGGCTAACTTTGAATTGCACTTTTCGAGGCAAGAGTAGATACTTCAGAGCCTATAGCCTGTAGCACCTCACCTATTAACTTGTGTGTCACTTGGTGGGTATTGTCAGTGCCTGATTTGGCCTTTCACCAGATACGAAAAACAGGCTACCTTAAGAGACATGTAAAAACGTATTTGCTACCACCAACGTATCACAAGCACTTATGCCCATCCAAGGGATTGACACAGTTTCAAACGTACAGCAGCAATTCATACTGAGAAATCTGAATTATCCAGATTTTATTAACAGATCAGTGGTTGAAATGCACTGTAGTATTTATTTCCTATGTCACTGCAGATAATCTACTTTGCAATTGTTTCTTCTGTTGTTCTATTGATATTCAGTCTTGCTCATGCATTTTTCACACTTTGGACGCCATAGGACTTGCTGCATTTGGCTGCGGCATCACAGTTGGTTTCAGTGCTTTACATTCTTTGGGTCCAAATGCATAAAACATAGGAGGTGCATAAAGTTTTGGTAGCAAACACTCCTTTCTTCTTAAACCTCCAGGAAACTTTGCAGGCCTATACATTATGAATATCTCCTCTCATGATCAACTACAGAATATCACACACTAAAGATGAACGTTAGACCACATAATGTTTATATATGTGTAATATACAAAAGCCACCAACACAAAACATCCTAACAATCACCTGCAAGGCAAGCAAACTTTCCCGCAAAGGCAAGAAAAATAGGCTGGAGCAGTACTTCGTTAGGTGTGGAGCGTGCCAGCTTATGATGTTCATCAGCAAACACATCAATATCAGCTCCTAGTTACGTATGTGTAACATCGGCTGAGTGTGGCTTTGCAACACATCCACACACGTGAATTGGGGCTTAAGGAGCACCTTTACGACCAGTGAGCACTAGGCTCGTCGGCAGCGTTGGTAATGAGCACGGGACGAGGGTAGGGACAGCCATTTTGGCAGAACTGTAACAGTCATAGGGAACTAGTCACGGCATTGGACTAATTCATCTGCCCCTTCCGGGTGTGTAAGACTGGGTTAACAGACACTGTACGCAACTCAAGAATGGAAAAGGCGTACATTACATAAATTGGAACTACATATCTGAAAGTTTCAAGGCCCTTTGGCATCAGAACATCACCTAATTAGGCTATTTGCAAATAGCTAAAGCTGTCCCAAAAAGGATAGCTTGGCTTGGAAGTAATGTCAAGGCTCACACAATCTTTGGAAAGGGAATAAAAAAAAAATAAAGGGACAAATAAAAGCACAGAGCCTTTATTTCTTGGGGCACTGAATATGGGTTTGTAGATGCAAATATGATTGCCTTGTTTACAGAATTGGTTATAATGTCCATGTAAGGGTGATGAAGTGATAACCTCAGCCAACAGCCCCTTACTGGAGAAGGAGCCCCTTACTGAAGAAGGGAATATGCTGTCACTTCACTTTGTGTACACTCTCAGCCAGCTGGGCATAGCTCAACGTTACACCAAGTTGTATTCCTTTAGATTTAGCTGCAGGATCGTATCTTTGACAGCAGCGAAGACGAACCTTATGTTCTCAGTGTCTGTAGGAGAGAAAGCAAAATGTGAAACAATTTAAATTGTTTGTGCATGCATGCATGGATGGATGGATGGATGGATGTATGTATGTATGTAATTACCTGAGTGGATGAGAGCTACACTTGTGGTGTCCCATCTTCCCAACACACTGTCATATAATGTACATCATATAACGTGTGTGAGAAACACGTTAACATGCGTGTGTACACATATGTATCAGCATTTGTGCTTACATAACTGCACATACAGAAAAACATAATACATCGCTCTTGAACCCTGCTGCCTCATGACTATTGTATCTGGTGATCTGGTGTTAACAAAGATTTGGTATATTTGTGTGTGTATATGTGCGATTACCTAAATGTATTTAAAGGATGGGTGGATCTCTCCCGCTTGCATACATATGATAAGGCTGCAGTCTGTAGTACTGGCCTCACATAGGTGGTGTGCAATATCCAAATGACTATACATTTAGGTTCCTGAATATATTAATTTAAGAGAAACTACACTGACAGCTCGGATAGAAAGGCTTAACAAAAGATTGGAAAAGTGCAAAGAGGAAAAAAAAAGTAACGTATGCACACAAATTGTAAGAGAAAAATAATGATAAAGGTATGTTTGGAAATAAAAACTGAAATGAGCAACAAGAAACAGGCATTAAACAAGAGTGGCAGTCAAAACACTAGAAAAAATAAATAAAACCAAATGGGTAAAATACCTGGAGATAAATGATACGATAACTGACAGAATGGCATTCGAACAAGAACGCTGTAACAAATCCTGTTACAGCTTTAAAAAAAATTCATTTTTTTTTATCATAAGCCCACAGAGATTTTACAGTAAGAGAGATAGTTGGGGTTGGGTTGACTTGTGTTATCTGAAGAACAAAAAAAACTGCTTTTGACAGACTCCCTACAAGAGGTTTTGAAAACAGGAACATGTCGATACATTACCCGCAGTAACCTCAGGGTAATGTACCAAACTGTAACATTGTTACTAGTGGTGTACAACAAGGTTTGTTCTTCCACTAGCACTGTTCATCATAGAAATGATCTACCAGGAGGAATGCAGCATTATGTTTGCTGATGATGTTAAACTATTAGAAAAGAATAAAAACTTAAACAATTGTTATGCCTTTCAAGATGGCCCAGACAAAATAGATGCATAGTGCAGCATTTGGCTGATGGAATTTAATGTGAATAAATGCCATGTTATGGAACGTGGAATATGATAAAATAGGCCACATACAACATTCAAAATTATGTGAAAAAGCTTTAAAGAACTCTGATAAAGAGAGAGATCTATGGGTGGTTCTGAATAGAAAACTGACACCTGAGGACAATAAAGAACATTGCAAGAGAAACCTGTGTGACACTTTCCAAATTCAGAACTGCTTTTAAATATATGGACGGCAAAGTACAGTAATAAAGAAGTTATTCACAACCTTTCTGAGATTATAACTGGAATATGCAGTTGTTATATGGTGTCGATATCTTAAGCACATCAACAAAATGGAAAAGGTGCAAATACATACAACTAAATGGTTCCTGAGAATTGAAAGACAAAGAGGTTAGAGGCATGAAATATGCCAAACTAGAAGATAGAAGAAAGAGAGGCAATATGATCATTATGTACCATATAGTAACGAGAATCCATAAAATTGATAGGGCAGAATGCCCGAGACCTGGAACTTCGAGAACAAGAGGTCTTAGATTTAAACTAACTAAACAAAGCTGCCGAAGAAATATCAGAAAAATCACTTTCTTAAATAAAATGTAGACGGTTGCAACAAGTGAGAAGGTGGTGGTGGTGGTGGTGGAGGCCAAAACCATCTGTAGTGTCAAAAAGAGTTACATGCTAAAGAGGGTTGGGATGATGGGATACTATGAGCATAGTAACTAAGCTGTATCCTGTAACTAAACTTGGATAATTACATGCATATATACAGAGTATATATACAGTATATGTATGCAATAACAGGTTCAGACAGTTACAATTAATACCAGGCGTAAATAAATTTGTATAAACTAAGTTATAAAACTAAAATAAAAGCATTTTTAAAGATATGTAAAGAATAATGTGCTAATTTTGCATGCACAAAAATGTAACATTCATATAATAGTACTGTAGCTGATTTTAATACTGAATGCATACTAGCCAATACCCAGTAATCAATTTTTATTTGTGATAGAAAAACCCTACCAAAATACATTGAATATACTGTAATGCACCAACTCTGCTTAGTGACTCCTTGTTGCTACCTACCTGGACAGTTCCACCCAGTTTGATCTGTGCCAGTCCCTTGCAAGTCATTGTAAGCCTACTGGGAACCAGAGGCCAAAACCTAATCCCTTCTACAGGGGTGAAAAGAGCATAGGATATAACATCACCGTAACCAAGAAAATGCCACAGGAAAAGTTGGCGAGCCAAGAGAAAATCGACAAGGTAAACAAAGCATAGAAAACGTGTCAACAAACAGAATGAACCACCTTCTCATGAAGCAGATTACTCATTGATTACAACTGTGCACTGCCAGGTGGCCATGTGCCTTGCTTGTTGATCCCTCAATAAGACAACCATCATTATTTATTCAGCAAGATGAAAATCCCAGCTCTTGAAAAGGGAAGGGAAGGCAGGAAGAAGTGTCCAAGGAGCCACTAGACATTTCTTTACATTCAACACTGGTTTTGTGGGAGGGCTCCTGAGGTTGCTCCTTATATCTGTCTCTGAGAATATTAAAAAATGGATACAAAGGGGCAGACAAGAACCGTAAACGGGAACCCCTAGAAGGGGGAAACAGCGATGGTGAACATGCCCTAAAGACATACAAGCCCAGCATGGCTGCTAGCACTCGGACAGACCACCAAAAATCTCCAGATTGAAAATATGCCAACGATTTGTTACAAAACAATGCAAAAAGTGCTGTAAACTGATGAACAGCATGGACCATAAGGTAGACTGCAGGCTGGCAAAACCAAACAATGCTATGGACAACTGAAGAAAAGCAGCCCACGAAATAAGGAAATTAGGGACACCAAGTCCACAACAGTGGTTCCTGGTGCATCACCAGGAGTGCAGAGATAATGATGAACAGACAACTAGACAAGATACATCCAGGCTGAACCACCAATCACCAAAGGAGCCTTCCAAAAACACAGCTGGCATGTTTATAGCCAGAAAAGGAAGAGAAAGCTGTAAGTGAAGAAAAATGGCCACCAGGAGCAAGAAGGTTCAAGAGGAGTCAGAGCAGACAGGAAAAAAGCATCCGAAGCAATGTGAAGTTGAGTGACAAAATGCTGACACAATATCGCCAACTGTGACTCCATCCAGAACACTTGCTGAATGGCCACTGCCTGAAAGTATTCCCCCTCCCCCCCAAAAAATGCCAGTCTGGCACAAAAGATGCTAAAGCAACCAAATACAAACAATGCCTGGCAAGACAGAGACAGGAGAGGAAGGAATGAAGGATGAGAGAAGAGGACCATGGAAACATCCCCACCCTCCTGTTGTGGGAGCTGATTCATTAGTAAACAAACATGCCATGGTGACAAAGTTGCAGGTCCCAAGGTGAAAGGGTTAAGCCACCCACAGGTTGCATATAGCAGAGGTAATAACTGACAGCCATGAGAATGCAACAACACCAATAACCATCCTAGAAATCTGCACCACAGTGTGAGTGTGGAATTGAAGGAAGAGCCGAGCAGGAACCTCTGAAAACTGCCAGTGTTTTTTGTATCCTGAAGGATTAATGAAGCAGGAAGCACCTGGCACAGGCTGCTTACCGAAAAGTCTAGAGGCTTCGGGTTAGGCTTGGGGTAGACAGAAGATCTCCCAGAACCCCATCAAGCAGGTATCAAACATAGGTAGCTGTTAAGGGTGTAAGCAGCATGCCTTAAAATGCATACGTGAGCTCTGTGTGATCCCAAACCTCAGTCTCAGAGTCAAAGACCCATGACCTGCTAAAAGGCATGGCACCATCAGGAATACTGCCTTTAAGGGACAGCCACCTAAGGCCACCAAGAAAGACAACCAAAGCTGGGTAGAGGCAACATCAGCAAAACCTGTTTCCATGATGGCCAACACTTATCTGAGAGACTAGAGTTGAAAAGCATTGTGACGGGAACAAGGAGCATAATCATCATCTCGGTGCATCGTGCCAGTCAAAATGATTGAAGTTGTTTTGTTGAGAGATTAACAAGATAAACAAATGCCACCAGGCACACAGCCACCTGGTGGCAAGCAGGTATAATTAATGAATTGACCGTTTTGTGATGGTTTATTTGGTTTGCGATCTTGTTTTTCTATGCTTTATTTATTTTTCTAGGGTGATCTAGTACCCTCCTGTTCCTTACATCTCTGAAGCGGGGGCCAAGCTTAAGCGTGTGGTCCCTGGTAAGCTTACAATGACTTAAGAGCCGGGCACAGATTGAATTGGGTGGAGCTATCCAAGTATGCAGCAACAAGGGAAGGGAAACATCACCAAGAGAAAGCATCAAGCCATGAGGACTACATAGCACTTGGAAAGGGTCAGGATAAGGATTTGGGATGGGACGGGGTAAAAGGAATATTGCCCAATCACTTGGATGGTCGGGTATTGAATGCCGACCTGCATAAAGTGAGACCGCCACTCTACCGTCCAGCCCAAGTGGTCGAGCTGGGTTGGTTACCACACCCTGTCAGCAGGAAGTCACCCTTTGAATCCTCCCAGAAATGTGAACCCCCAGTTTGTACTATGTATACAGTACTTTAATTAATACTTCCCCAACAGCAGTATACTACCAAAGTTTGTCTATACTGAACAGTTAATAAATTAAGTATTACCTAATGAAATCTTTAAAATGTACCAAAACTTGTATCACAGGTAGTCAAGATATATTATGCGAAACTCTAAAGATCATTAAAGTAATTGATTGCTCTACTGTACTGTCTGTTGTATCATCCTCATCTTATAATTGATGACAACATTTACATGGTCTTACCTACTGATAAAAACAAAACCACATACTGCACGCATAAATTTTGATATACAGTAATTCTCCCAAACACAGAAAATATAACTGCATTTTTTATAATTATATACCTACAGTTCATCCAAGGCCTTACACAAGCCTAATTTATGCAATCCAAATCTACAAGAAATAACATTTTAGACTATATTATCAATCAACTTTACATGGCGACTGAATCAACCCAAGTATTTGGTGATAAGGAGTTCCAAAAGTAATTTTGCCATTAAAAATGACTTAAGCTGCAAAATATTGAATTTTAATTTAGTAAAGTTTGTTTATCTTACAGAAATTAACCAGAACTCATGTCGGGTAACAAATGAGAAATTCTACTCCTTTTGTGTCTGAATCATTTATGCTGTAATGTATTATTATTATTAAACAATAAAACCGACTTGGTCTTGGAATACAAAAAATTTTCCTTGCAAGACCCTTGACAAACGTTTATATGCATTGTTTTATCACAAGGTGTCTAGGAATATATTCCCACATTAGACTGGGAGATAATTCAATGCATCATCATCCTTAGCCAAATTCTCCCTTTCACTTGCTTGGAGTAGGAATGAGAGCAATATACAAAATGGTTTAAAAATGTTATAGATAATGCCCATCTACAGTATTTACCACACACTTGACAGTATTTGACAACCAACACAGCCACACTCCAGTAAATCATCCACAGTAGCATCTCTATTTGATAACTTAAAATGGCTTTATTCTAATCCTTGTTCCCTACCACTTTTTGTACACTATTCACACAAAATTGCCCAAAATGCTGTGCGTAATAGTGGCTTTAGGCATTGTATGTACTAGCTCTATCTATAAATTCAACATTATGTTTGTTAACTCACCTTGTATGTATATATGTACTTTACCTGAATAAACATTTGATTTGAGTTACCATGTACATGCACATTCAAATCACCATAACTATCTCTTATCTTCATGGATTTGAATCTACAGTACTCCCACCTTCAAATTCACTCTCTGCAAAACTATCATCATATATTTATTCATTGAACATGATCAAACCACCTTGGCACATACTAAATACTTTGAGTTACTGATTTTTGCACTTCTTATCTTTTCCTTGATGTCACCATCCATAATTTTAATCTCCAAACACTACAGACTGTCCGGCTATACTGCTGTAACCATGGGGTTATAATTATTATTCTTATTTCCTATACCAGAACAGCATTTCACAACCACACAGAAGAGATGGCATTACCAATCCTTACTGCAGCCCTTGAGCCTCGCTGCTTCCTATCATTTTCTCTCTCTTGCCAGAGTTTACACTGTATCAGCCATTCTCTCCCACTGGCTCCCTTACACACTGCTGCTCTTGCAGAATTCCTTTATATCCTGTCACATACATCACTCATCAACTCATCATACATGCTCATAACACACTAAAAGTTCATAAAGGCAATATACACCTTACGAACTATCTTGCATGCCATTTCCACTAATTGTCTTGATGCAAATACCTGATGTATATAACTGCAGAGTCCACCCTGTTTCTGTTATTGTCCGTACTCTTCCTATCACAGCAATACTTTCATAAGAGCACAGTGCCACTTCCCTATGCATTCTTATAAAGCCTCCACATCCGTCTCACTAGTTTCTCTGCTGTAATTATTTCTAGATCATACTTCAGTTATACTTGCCCCTTTTTTTACCACATTTTTTTTTGCACACCAGCAAAATGACTCACGTTCACATTTGCACTTTTGCACTTTTTATCATTTCCATTAATCAGACCTTAAAAATGTTCTCCCCGGTTAATAGTCTCCCGTCCTTACCTTTAATATTCTCGTTCACCACCAGTCTCCTTGCTGCACGTACTGATTTGTGTTCTTTATAGTCTTAGTTTCATTTAGCAACTATGATCCTAGTCTAATATTCTTCACTCAAATCATGACATTTTATGTACTAACATATGTGATACATAATTGGCATAGGATCTTACTCTTCCTCAGAAAACATGCAAATCCTGATAGAAGGCAAAGCAAATAACTTGAAATATGTTAATGAATAAAGAATCACCTTGAAAGAGAAGAATGAAGAGATGGACAATAAAGTAGAGTAACATTAGGCCAGGTTGTACTCCTTGAGAGCATTCTGCATGATAGTGTCCTTCACAGCACAGAACACTAATTTAATATTTTCAGTGTCTGCATTTGGTACAAAGTTGAACTAAAGGGGATCACTTTCAGTTATTGGATATTTCAAAGTTGTTATTTGAAGATATGGCAAACGTACGAATGACAAAAATGGATGATCAATGCTCAAAATTTACCATATATTTCATTTTCATTAGTAGAATTATGAATAAAAGAATGTTTAATTACAAATGTTTTTTTTAAGAGAAGAAAAGATGAAATGTAAAAGCCATGATTATAGAAACATTTACAAAATATATTAATAAATTTGATGCCACGAATTACAACAAAGGGATCACAGCACAAAAACATGCAGGAATACCCAACATGCACAGGATGAAAGCCAGATGCAGCATGCAAAGAAAAAAAAACACATTAGCTTGCATTTGTAAACTTTGATACTAATAACAGAAAATACGAATGAAAAAAAATGATATATCAGAGCAACTGTTTTGCAAAACCATGTTAAACAGTTGAATACAAAACAATTACCCTTCATTCTCAACTTCTCAAGCCCAAATTTGTTAAGACAATTCAGGAATGAGAGTGAAGATTTTCAGTGATGAGTGCTGCCTTCAGAGTTCCAAGCAAGAGTTAAAATAAATTAGAAGATTCCACATAAATAACATAGAATCCCGGATAATTTGCTAAGAAATGCGCAATGAACACGGGTCATGCCATCATCATGGTTAATGCTCTTTACCTGTCGCGCATGTGAAATGAGAATAGATAATCTTCTCAGGGTCAGGATTTAATTCTACAAACATCCGTAGGATGAACTCTCGGGCTGCAATGGCATCCTTCCGTGGGCCTGAAAGGAAATGATCTAGCTACAGCTACTTGTACACATGTTTTAAAATTTCCAACAACAGAAGTACTACAGTAGTATGTAGGTGACTGTCTGCCTGAAAATCATAATTACCTGTTCAAATCAATATTAAGATTAAATACGATTTACGTCAAAGCCCTGGAAAAAAATTGTAATGTAATGAAATGCACTTTTCTGGTGGGCACCCCATGCCTTCCTGAGCTCATCATCACTGAGTACTGTACAGTACAGTACTCAGTAACACAAACCCTCCAAAACCTACTCATAACCTACCATGGGCTAGGATCAGAATGTGGCTCACTTATGTGACGAGGGGAATGGGATAAGAGATGAACAATAAGATTTGGGAAAACTAACCCAAAAAATACCCTAATTCTGATATATGTCTAATCATCAACAAATGGCAGCCCAAGTTACCCTTAAGTTGCAGCCATGCCACCAACTCATGGGTTAAGAACGGACAAGGCAAGAATGGGAGCCCCTGGGGGCCCAACAGAAAAGTGAATTTCATTATATTTAACACAGACTGGGCTTAGATATGTAAGAGGAATGGGCAGAAGAACATCAGCTGCGTACCAAATGTCCAAGTGTAAAAGGCCATATACACTAACTGCCACAAGCCGCATGCCCAGAACCAAGTTATACCATACAGTATTGGCAAAGGCATAACAGCAGCAAGTTCCCATACATTGTTGATCTCCCCACCCAACCTCCTCAAATCTTCCCTCCCAACTCCCTACCCTCCCACATCTCTTCTTTTCCCTCGTCTGGCCTCCATTCTCAGACAGACAGACATTTCCATCTATATACATACTAGAGGGGTACCTGACAGTGCTCAGGGGTCTGTCTTCCTTGTCCCTCCAGAAAACCAGGGTTGAATGTAATGAAATCCCTCTTTCTGATAGGGTCTTGGTGGCTCCCAGGTTCCCTGTCCCTCTACCAGGTGTGTGTCAGTTTGAGGTCTTCAGCCCAGATTGGGGCTATGCTTGCATGGAAGCCAGGAGCTCCCAGTGGTGCTGCTATTTGTTGGTGGCCAGCCACAACCAGGGGGAATTTAATCGAAGTCTTTGAGTGAATTGTTTGCAAATTTAATTGGCTGTTTCAGTGCTTCACTTTCTGTGAACCTTGCAGTTGTCTGCATAGCTTGGCTTACATTTCGCTTACTTTCTGGACGTTTTCAATGTCCGGACAATTGCAACACTCTTCTGGTCCCTGTGCCTCTGTATTGGAGGCATGGTTCTGACACTTGTCCCTGACAACCAATATAGGACTTCTTTGACTAATTTGACTCAGTAAAGGTGGAAGCTATCTCAGCAACCTAGCTTCAGGGAGCCACCATTTGGCTCCTCCAGAAAATAAACGTTCTTTCTGTATTAGGGTTAAAAAGAAAGTTAGGAAAGGAAACATTGCAGAGCCTTCCTACAAGATATAGCATGAAATTTAACAACCAAGTTACTGTATCCTTCTTTACCTGATAATTTGCAATAAATATGATACATTCAAGAAATTATTATTGCACAGCTCAGCAAAACTCCACCTTGTCTCATATATAGAATAGAATAAATTAAAAAAGAAGGCAAGATCCAGCACTGAAACAATATATTAAAGAAAACAGTATTTCAAATATTAGAATTTTTTGCATATTTTTTCACTAAATTCAAGAATAACAAAAGATGGTTATGTGGGGAAAAGTACTGTAATATATATTGAGTTAGCTGAAGGTCAAATTAGAAATGGTCGAAAAATACAAATGAAAGAATGTTACAGAACTGGAACGCAACTGCATAAATGTAACCGAGTCAAGTTATAGATATTAACTGAAACGGTGGGAACAATGAACAAGTTTTACCTTCTTTACATAATGTCAAAGTAAAATAAAAGTTATCCGCTCAATAGTGCCTGACGTGAAGAGTAGTACAGTACTGTACTGTATACTGAAAAACGGGTGGTGTACAGGTACACCAAATGAACAATACACAACTAAATACAATAATTGCAAGATTCATTCATACTGTTTCCACAGAAGCACTTTCCATAAGCAACTGATATCTACTACCTACAGTACTTGCCACATTGGCTGCCATATTAACAAACTGCAATACCGATCATGTGCAAGGTCTACCATTATATCTGTTAGTTTTCCCAACAAAGTTCATGTGCTGCCTCGCACAAAATTCTATTTTAAACTATGAGAAATTACACTACAAAATGTGCTATACAAAGTATGGTCAGCAACTTTGTCTGGTTAGATAAAAAATAACTACAATTATTACATGTCACTTTAGTATGTTCTTTAGGGTACACGCTATAAACAAACTATAATTGTCCACCAGCGTAGGAGATAACAAATACTAAGACTGTTCCAAATTTGGCATTTGTACAAAATTCAAATAACTTTCGCTGACCTACATACATTATGTGCCCCCATAGTTCCCATTCTACTGCAAAATGATCTGAAACTAATACACAAGGTACAGATTACAATTAAGCAAATCAAAAGTATTAGCAGAATTAATTTAACATTTGCAATACTATTATGGCCTGCTAGCTGTAATTCTTATGATCTGACCGACCTGTAGCACACGTAAAGTGAGAATAACACATTCGGTCTGGATCTGGATTTTGGGCAAGATACATCTTGAGAACGAATTCACGTGCCCCAATATGATCCTGTTTCTCTCCTGAGGATTATAGTAAACCCATTAATTAGTTTTATTAATCAGAGCACCTACTTAAAACACAAGAAATCAGAATAGTCATTAGCAATTGCCATTCACTCTTTTATAGCAGTTAACCAAATGTAAATAATTCTCTTTACATTTTTTACGTACCTATAAAAGTCTAAACAAAATTAAAAAACGGTAAGTTCTCTACAATGTTCCTGCGACTGTACTCGCTAAAGAGCCATCAAAGTATCTATATACTTTCTTCTCTCAAATTTCCACCATTATGAGGACTAGTACACACAGAATCTCAAGAAATATCTTGAGGGATTTATGCAATAAAAACAACTTATAAAAACTGGCTACTTATTTTTTTTGGTTTAATCTTTACTTGGCTTTAAGCATACCTATTAGACACTTGTATTAACATATTGTAACTATGGTATCACGTTAAAAATTTATCATCATTTAACGATGAGAAAATCACGAAGGGTGTTGCTGGGCTACTATATTTCACAAAGTGAAAAGGATGGTTTTATTACAACATATTGTAATATATTGAATTCCCACCTCTAACTTCCGAGAGGCAGGATAAACAGAATCCTGCCTCCACTTCCCCACCAGCTTGTAACTTCACAGTAAAAAAAAAACCAGAGATGCTTAGGATCTGCAGCTGAAGTATCAACAGCTAAATTGCCTTAAAGCTGCAACTCAAACTGGGAAGCAAGCCACTGGCAAAGCTCTTTTAAAAGAATAAAACGAAGGCTTGGCAATTGCGATGAAAGGGGTCTGCAAGACTGCATTAGACAAGGCAGGTCATAAATGGTAGAATGAATGGACCCATAAGTGGTACCAATCTTGAACACAATTGGGGAATATTAAAGAGAAAGGGGTCACCATTGGAATCATAAAATTGCATGCATACAGATCCAGTCTGTCTACATAAAGTGTCAATTTGCCCATCCTCAAACAGTCATCATGGCAACAAGAAAAGGATGACAAACAGGTCATAAAAGGTAACCGTCACCAAACAGTCCAGTCACAACAGCTGGAGAAGCCCAGAGACCAGGGTAAGAGTTGCTGGTTGATCCTAACCAAATCTTGACTATTAATATAATACAAGACAGTGGCAGCCTGTGTCTGCAACAACACACACACACTACAACTATGAATTCAGCAAAGGCTAGACCTTCTGACACAGGGATGAGTCAGAAGGGATATGTGATGTAGGTGCCGCCATCTAGCACGATGTGGTGGTGGCCGTTTAAGAGAACACTATGACAGTCCCAGCGATGCCAAGATTTAAAAAGCTTGTGTTTATGAGTGAACTTTCTGCAGGTAAATCTGGGCACCTGGATTGTACCCAAGGGTTTTCTCCAATGTTTCCCTAGTACTATTATGATCAGACAATATTGTCTTAAAAGATTCCTGTTGTGCCAGCAAGAATGTTACCCCTATATCTGACAGTGAAATCTAAAGAAAATACGATTTAACAATGGTTCAGGACGGACCGAAAGTCGTCGTTTCTCCATCTTCTAATGTGTGGTTTGGTCATCAATCTTAAGAGAATCCTATTAAAATATTAGAGTAGTCTTACAGCTGATATATACTGTAATTAAAACATATATTTATATATCTTTTCATAAAATAAATTGCTTTCATTATTATATACCAAATGGCATAATTACCAATGAAAAGTACTATTAGCTTTAGCCTTGTCCAAAATACTGTGCATAATAATGGCTTTGATACTCTTAAAACAATTTATTGTAATTTCCTCAACCTTATGCTCATTTACATACATTCATGTACTATGTAAACATTATTTTATCTTTTAAAAAATCAAATGGTTATTACACACTCACACTAGAAAATAAGTGAAAATAATGGGAATTGGTCACATGGAAAAAAAAAAAAAAAAAAAAAAAAAAAAAAAAAGGCTTCCATGAGAAATCATGGTAAACTGGTCTGCAACTTGCCTATGTTATTGTCACAGTAATACAGTACTGTATTATATACCTACTGTATTTAGTATAATGAAATAAAAATCCAATCATTAATTTAAAATACAAAATTTTTGGCATATCCAGTATTATTGTGAAGAAGACATTAAACAGAGTTGTAGGAATGTCTTAAGTGATATATGCTCACATTTTAACATTAAAAGTAAAGAAGTGGGAATGACTGTGCTAACTGTTCCTATAAAACAGGGGTCTCCAACCTACATCTTGCAGGGCACATCAGGCTTGGCACAAGATATTATCTGGTCCCCAGCAATTTGATATGTACATAAATAATATTAATTATTCCCTTTCATTTGTTCTCAAGCACATGGTCGGGCAGTTGAGGCCCAGTTCCTGTGTGCCGTGCTCCTTCCCATCTGACACCAAGCCAGAGTGGTATCAGCCTGGCAAACCTTCATTTTCACTCACTATGCTTTAAGACCCCTTACAAACCATAATAATTCAATGTTAACCTCGTCCCTGCCTTATATTAGCATCAGTGTGTAGGAGGTTTGAGAGATAATCCAGCTTTCCTGTTTTTTTTTTTAACATCTCTGACTAACCACCGTCTAACCAAAAATCCTAATAATTTTCTTCCGTCTTACAAGTTATTTTCCGTTACCCTTTAGTTTGTGTTACGGTGTCCTCTCCTATCTCTTTCGTTTGCCTGCTTTAAGAGTCATATCAGCTCTCCCTATTGATTCTCTGAGGTTCAGGGAGTCTATTGATATACTGTATGTGGCGACCAGACCGGCTGCCAGTTAAGGGAGAACGTTACATTATAAGTTGTAAGGGAAAATTGGCGCCCTGATATAAAATGAAAGAGTATCCCCTGCTGCAGATATGACGTTTTGGAAGGGACACTAGCCGATCGCGGATTGGCCGACTTAGGTCGCGGGCGACCAATCAGGGCCCGCCGTGACGTCACCGAGTGCCCTGGGCGGCGCCAACGTCAGATTTGTTAAAATAATTTTGCACACAAGATCTAAATAAAAACCTATTTATTCATTTGTAAAAAAAAATTTTCTTAGGCAAGTGAAATGTGTAAATTATACGACATGGTTCTTGTACTGAAAAGTTTGGAGATCCATGATATTTTCTCACTCTAAATAATACTGTTTACCTAATCATAACAACCTTTGCATAACCTTAAACATACTTGGGAATGAAAAAAAAAAATAAATAAATAATAATTAAAAGCTACACGGCATTATTTTTAAGTTATGTACTACACTAATATAAGAAACTATTAATTTCATTCTTCTGATAATTAATTTCATAACAAAATTACATATAAAATTATCACTTTATACAAATGTTTAAAAATAGGTTTATAAAATGGTGGGGGGAGAGAGAGAATATGTATTCCATATATAGACCAGGAGAGGAGCAGCTACTGTGCTGACCAGCAACAGCGTTACATATCGGCCAGAATTGGCACAGGTATAAACGGACGATTGCTAGTGGCAATGTCTTCTCAAATCCTATTGTCTAAATAATCTTTGATTCCATTTCAACTCACCATCATATTCTGGAAAGTAGTCAACAAGATGTGAGTACATGATCTTCTCTTCTAACAGATCCTTCTTGTTAAGGAAAAGGATAACAGAAGAGTGCTGGAACCAGGGGTAGGTGATGATAGTCTTAAAAAGGGCCTTAGATTCCTCCATTCGGTTCTGTTAAAATACAATAAATTACAATGAATTATGATCAAAATTGTCATACAATTTGGAAAAAATACATAAATATAAATTTTATTTAAAGTTGACTTTTAATGACTTCTTAATTTTTGTTTTAACACACAAAAAAAAAGTGTGTTGAACGTAATGAAATGTTTCTGGTGGCTCCTTGTTGCTACCTACTTGATAGCTCCACCCAATTCAATCCATCCCAGGCTCGCCAATCATTCTGATGCCTTTTTCTTGGTAAGGGTTGTCTCTTATTAGTTGCTCCTTATGCCTCTATATCGAGGAGGCCAGGTGCTGTCTATTCCCAGTAGCCTTACAAGGGCCTGAGCATGAAATGAGTTGGGGCGAGCTACCCATGAAGCTAGCAATGAGAAGTCACCATAAAAGCCCTTTCAAAAGCAACTTTTTACATAATTAAATACCTCTTCATGCATGCATACAAAAATTTAAATGATTCAAATTTTAGCACCTAACAAATGTTTGATATAAATGGAACTGCAGGAACCACTTTACGTGTACTATCAGGCGTCACAAGTTGTGGAATTCTTTAACACATTTTTCAAGTGATCAACTAAGTGACAACACCTGAATGTGACTGCAACATTGGTAAGAGACTGTACACAAAGGCAGCTCGGGGAACAAAATTACGATGGAATAAGCCAATGAAGGATGTTTATATATTATGAAAGTGTTTTTTTATGTTTTTTTTTAGTAAATATGCAGTAAAATAAAACTGCAACCCAGTAACCCCTTACTATTAAAAGTAAGAAAATGTTTACAGGGGAGGGGAGGGAACCCAAAGTTAACATTGCTTGCTGCACAGTGAGACCTATCATAGGTCTTTCTTGATTAACAAGTAATCTGCAAGCTCAAACTACATTATGCTCAGTAATTTAAATACAGCAACATTAAATAGTTGCTAAATTTCACTGTAGCCTATCACCTCACTCTCCAATTTAGTTTTCACCTATGATAATGATGCACAGTGTACTAAACAATACAACCTTGATTATTTAGTTTTCAATCCGTATTTATGCACGAATATTAATATGAAATATTAGAATGACAACACATACTTTTTTCCATTTTATTGCCATTGTTAATAATGTCCAATGCAGGTATTTTTCACAGCACCTTGTGCAGTATTTGAAATGGAATTAGAGATGAAACCAAGTTAGAACTATAATAAGTAGTACAAAGAAGAATGGTAAAGTACAGATGGGAAATGCAAAATGGGGCAGTCCTCATTTTGTTACTAAGAATGTTAAAAGATCTGTTTTAGGCCATAATAATTGGTATCTATTTACTGCTAGGTAAACAGAGGCATTAGACAAAAAGAAATATGATCGACCATTTCTGCTCTGTCCTGGATTCAAACTCAGGATTCAGAATTGTGAGTCAAGAATTAACCCAACTACTGGAAGAAAAACAGTCCTAGTTTAATGGCTTGAACGAAGATTAATTTTTTCTTATTAATATACTGTATGAATATTGAAGGCAACTTTCTTCTCTCATAGTACAAGAAGTGACAACTGCTTCACTTTCATGACAATATATCTAAGCTGTATTCTGAAGTACCTGTGGTAACCCCGACCACAAAAAAAAAAAAAGGAGTAATTACTTAGGTGTAGTTAATATGCTCGTGGTGTTCCATCTTCTCAGTACAGCACTGTCATATAACGCTTTGAAACTACCAACAGTTTTGGCCTCCACCACCTTCTCACTAGCTCGTTCCAGCGGTCTACCACTCTGTTTGCAAAAGTGAACCGTCTTAATATTTTTTCGGCAGATTTGTTTTCTTAGTTTGAGCCTATGTCCTCTTGTCCTTGAAGTTGCAGTTTTCAAAAATTCTTTTTTTTTTTGTCAATTCCAGTTACTATTTTGTATGTAGTGATCATATCACCTCTTTTTCTTCCATATTATAGCTATGGTATATTTAATGCCTCAAATCTCTCATAGCTTGTTTTTCAGTTCCAAAAGCCACTTAGTTGCATGCCTCCACATTTTCCAATTTACTGATGTGCTTCTTGAGATAAGGGCACCATACAACTGCTGCATGTTCCAACTTCGGTCTCACAAAGGTCATGAACAGTTTCTTTAGTATTTCACCATCCACGTACAGTATTTAAAAGCACTTGTGAAATTGGAAAACGTAGCAGAGGTTTCTCACAAAATGTTCTTTATGGGGTCCTCAGGCGACGGCTTTCTATTTAGAACCACCACTAGATCTCTTATCTGAATTTTGTAAAGCTTTTTAGTTTAATGCAAGATAGAGAACGACCATTCTGTATGACTATCTCCAACATTGGTGGATTCTCATATCAATGTTTATGGAAATGATGACAGTATGGCTTGCATTAAAACATTTCTTTTAAGGCACTCGGTGCTGTATCTACACTCAAACAATGCTTCAGTGGTGCATTAACCCTATTAAGTTGGCTCTTCCTTGTCTCTCCCATTCTGGGGTTGTAATCTAGCTGTAGCATCTCCTCTGGCTTGAAGCTTTCAGTGCTAACAGCTGTTCACAATCTCAAAATGCCGAATGTGTTGATGGATAGCCTCTTGCTTTCTATGGATTAAAACGATGTGAGGTGGATGAACCCTCCCTGTCTGAAAACATCGAAGACTTTTGCTATGACCAAAGTGGATCTGCTCACATCCACATGAAACCACAAGCTGTCCATGTATATGCTTCATTCTATAACCGAGGCACTTCTGTGCTAAACAATATACGTTTCCTCCACTTAGAATGCAATTGTCCAATAGTACCTTGTCTGCTACTTCTATACCTTTGCTGTTCTATTCTTTTCATTGTCTTTCCTTATTTGCCTCTAGTGGTAGATCACGTCCAACAGAATAAATTCCTATAGGGTCACTCAGTTTTAGAATTTTTTTTTTTGGTACAAAATGCAATATTGTAGCTTTAAGGTGTCCTCATCATTGAAAGGCCAAACACTTTAACCACACTAGAATTTTTTAATTATCAAGTTGTGATCTTATGCTCTTCATGGAATTTCCGAGCTTCTCTTTCGGTCAGAGATGCTTTACTGCATCTTCACCTTAATCCCTTATTCCTAAGATTACTTTCCAAGTGCAGGCTGTGTTGATTCATCATTTTTATCTTTAAATTGCATCATTATGTTCTGGGATACAGTCATTCTTCCTTCGAGTATCCTGTCCTCGACCCCCGTTCTATGATACCTTGCTCTATAGTAGTCTAGCTTATCCCAATGCTCATGATCTGGTGAAATGAAGTATTCATAATGAAGGCATTCTTTTCCGATACATCCAGCTTTAATATTAGCATTCAATTTGGTCAAGAATTTTTGTTGCCTTTCCTTGTGTTAATTATATGAAGAGAAAAGATGTATACCAACAAAAATAGTCAGGATAGACCAGGTAGGAGAAACACGAGATGTCATAACATACGTAAAGGTTATATTTATTATAGAAAAGTGATCATGGCAGGGAGTGAAGATGAAGGCAGGTTACTTTACTGAAACTAAAAAGCTAGGGAAAACTGTTCTGAGTGCAAAGATTGACAGAAAAATAATCAGGTGCTTAAACATTAAGTAGTCTAATCAAGCAGTTTACAAGTATAATATTACACTATTTTTAGCTACAAGATTTCTTGTCTTCAATAAATTAAAGGTATAATATTCATTACTTTTTTAAATTACAGTATATTAGCAAACCAGAATATTAACAAAAACACAATTCAGATATGATTGGTGTGGTATGACAATGAAGAAGTAAGAGTTAGGCCAACAGAAACGAAAAGTGTGAGCAGCATGTGTGTAATGCTTAGAGGATTGGTAGAGTAAGCAATGAAATTGTCACAAAAATTTGTAGTGTAAAAGTTGATAAATTGTAAGACTGAAGTCTGTTTACTGACATTTTAGGTCTTGTTGAACAAATGGATGGTTAGTGATTTAAAGTATAATCGTGTGAATATGAAGATGTGAGGGGAAAAGACCGAGAAGATAGGAAGACATGTTGCTTGTGTGTGAATGGTCCACGATTTGTGGCACGGAGTAAGAAGTGGAAGTGAACACGTTTGTATATGACAAATTATGAAGATCACTTTACATCCAGTTGTATAAAGTGGCGGGCATGATGACGTGAATGACCTTTTGTGTGTGTGCGGGTCCAAATTTTCTGATGCTCTTTACGGTCTGACATGCTGCCGATTTCATAGGTAGATTTTGTTTTTTTATCTTTGCTCTATTTCTTTTTAAGCTGTTCTCTAATCTTGCCTTAGCTTGTGCATCTCTACATCATGAAGAGGAAAATTTAATAATAATGATGAATAAAGAAGACTGTAAATAAAAGTAATGAAATGCAATGTTGCAACTACTTTAGACCCCCACTTTTCTTTAAGGCTATCGTGCAGTCTGTTATGCCAGCAGTGGGTATTTTCTGTAAACACATCCAGGGTTATATTTAAATGGATTTGACACAGTATCATTCATGTGCCTAAAGGCAAGATACATTGGGCTAACTCAAAATAATAAACAATTACTTCTAAGCAATTACAGAAATTATGTAAAATAATGTTCGTAATAATTATATTTCAGTTTACACAGACAAGAGCCTTAAACAAAGTCACAAGTGGTTTTGCATTTCATCTGTAAAATCCATTTCATCACCGAGGCCAATAAAATAAAATAAAATCATTCGCCAATAAAACAACTAACAAAATACTCCCTCATCCTTTACATTCCCTTTCAGTTCCATAATAAAGTTTGAGTGCAAGCTGAATGCCATTCCAATATTGATTTGGTTAGGCTTCCCACAGCAAAGTAGTTCAGCTTTCCCTCATTGAATACCACAAAGCGTTTTACTGCTAAATGAATACCTTAACCGAGGTCTGATCACGTTTATCCATATTTGCCCGTAACACTCCAATTTACTCTTTCCCAGTCTTCTAGATCTACAAATGCTAAATGTTATTTTGTTCTTTATACTATAATTTTGTTTATGCGGACACAAATTCTCCACTTTTCTATATAAAAAAAGAAAGTTTTGCTTTCCTTAATTTACTGTTGCTTTCTTCATCTGCTCAGTATTAACTATGTCACACACTTTTCCTGGCACGCTCAGCAGAATTGTTCCCTCATAATTACTACACTCATCACAACCATCTTCGCACTTGTACAATAGCACTGTTTACTTTTGTTAAGTCATCTGCAATACTGTCTATTATAACTGCTCCTCAGAGCTTTACTTGCTATTAGCCCAATTATAGCTTCTCTTCCCTCCTCTCTCTATATTTTCTGGACATTTTCCCACCATTTAATTCTACAACCATACATGATATCATTGTTTGCCTCTTATCATTAAATGACATTACCACCATAATATACTACTCATTCAACTACTTTATTACCTTTATGTATAAAAAAATTACCAATTTTTTTTTACCCCAACTTCATTCTTTCCCCCCTCCCACCCTATCTTTAATTATTTTCAATATACTGTAACTATTTTCCATATATTTACGTACTAAAAATACTTTTCAACAGCCCATCTGTTGAAAATTAAAATAATTTCTTCATGGGTCACAACCAGACCAAAAATTGACAGTATAAACTGCAAGTAATCCACAAGGGTTATCCTGGCTAATTTCAGCATTGCTGCACAAGAGATGGTAAAATCCTAGGAACACACAAAGTATCACATTGAGAAGATATGTAATAACCTGTGAGCAAGCTCTGGCCAAGCTCCTCAATGACACTGGCCATTCAACTAACCCATGAACATGTTAGTACCAGAATTTGTCAACCCTCACATACCTCGGTATCCCCTTGCTCAATCACCATAATATACACACCACCATTGTCCACGCACTGGCGCTTTTTTACCATGTCCTATAAGTGTAAGAGACCACAGGACCATTAACATCATAATCCTAGAAGTATTTTTATTTTAAGACTATTCTTAACTTATTTTTCAAAATCGAAATTGAAATTGCCTACTAATTATCCACAATTTAATTTGCTTGCATGCTGACATTGGGCCCAAGGTAAGGTAATTATCAAAAGAAGGCACCAAACCAGGAAGGCTATATTGGGCCCAAACACAACCTCTTACCAAACTTTTAAAGCAGTTAACAATCTGCTAAACAAAATTGCAACTACAATACTATACAGTACTAAAAACTTTGCAAAAAGAAGTTCCCCAAAAGAACAATAGTGTAACTGTTCAACTACAGTATCAGATCTCTAAGCAAACGTGTTAATAATGCCTTACAAGGAGGTTTCGGTGTAAATTATGAATACCTGTATGTTTAACATACCTGGAACACGCAGCCATCCATAATCTGACACCAACTAAGAAATAGGGAAGGTACTGAAATCTTATTATTCTGTAAATGTGCAAGTTTGTAGGAAAATCACACACATGTACAAGAAAACTATGGTAAATATACATTCGCCAAATATTGTACAAACCATTTTTCAACATCTCAAACAATCATGCATAACAGTCAAGTTTTTTTCAATGCTGCACAGTAACTGGTGGAGACTAACACTAATCAGTGCCAACCTAATTATCCTCAAGTTTACTTTCCAAAATAATGTGTACTTCGGTGAACTAATAATCTCTATTACTTAGCCCACCAAACTAAGACTTCTGATGTCATAAAAGACCACCAACAAACTAACAAATGTAGCTAACAAACAGATCACCACTCCATCTTCATTTCCAACACTACATGAAAAGCAAATCAAATTCATAATGGGCAGCAAAGCTTCAATGTGTAACGCCATTGAAACTGTTACAAGACATACTAAAATATGTCTCAACACTGAAAGCATTAACATAGGAAAAAAAAAAAAAGATAGGAAGTATTTTCCAGACAGTGGAAAACAGAGAAAAGGGACACAGTTAAAAGGTGGGAAACAAATCAATCATGAAAATAAGTACAGTTCTTGTATGCATTTCAGGTGGCAAGGAAATGAAATAAATATAGAACAGAAAAGATGGAAACACAATTCCGTTAAAATTTGTTGATCAACAGCCAAATCTGGCTCTCCGTAGAAATTGATAGTTAAACATATACAGTACAAAACTGCACTGTTTATAAAATTACAAATAAAAACCATGACTTGAAAATAGGCACGTCTAGATTTATTGAAACAATACAGGACATCAGAACAGTTTCAAACTACAGTACATATGGCTTCCAAAGAATTAACAGATTCTACACTTTTAACCAGTATATACACAGAATAAGTTATTTAGGGATATGCCCCACAACACCTCGTTCAAACTAAAACTGTATCCTTCATATGATTTTGTTAAAGATCTTTCGTGAAAAATGGGATACTTAACAAATCCAGAAAGATTCCTTTGTACGGTTTATTAACAATTAAATTTCCATGCAAAATAATGTATACTGGTAAAAATTTTAAATCTTAATTCTCATTGGTTATGTCAAATGCCAAAGATTATATGGAAGATGGGACAGCTTAAGCAGAGCTCTCATCCTGTAATTACACTTGGGTATTATCACACGCACAAAACCAAGCATTAGCATTATAATGTCAGCATTGGCTATTGCAGTGCACACACAAGATGTCTCAATCTACCAGAAAATTTATAAAATGCAGAACTGCCAAACACCCACTTTATCGGATTTGTGACAAGGATTATTCCACTTTCCTGAAGATAGCAGAAATTCTGAAAACCATTCCTAATGCAGATGGTTGAGATCCCTTAGTGACTGCAAGCTCAGAAATCTCAGATATTTGGAAGCAAGGGATAGCCAACAGCCATACAGTATGTGTGTATGCACAGGTGAATAACCAAACAAAGAGGTATTGATAGAGGGAGAGGCGGGAGTGTACGAGTGGAGATTCGGGCACGCACACACAAAAAAACGAGAAACAAGAGACTCGTTGAAACTCCAGTCCCAATTATTTAAACAGTCAAAACAAAGTACTACTATCAAGACAGACCCATGGAAAAGAAGCAAATTTGAAATGTGCTTACATCATGCATGGGATGTGTGTAAATACTGTCTGGGCAATCAGGAAGAAACAAGAGTAAGTATATAGGTATGATCACAAATAAAACAAAAACCTACTAAAACAAACAATGCTTCAGAACTTGCAGATATTTCCACCCAGAACAGTGTAATAACTCTCTAAATGTGTGTGTGCTATAATATGATACTACTCAGCATTTCATATCAAATGAACCAGGGGCCAGATTCACGAAGCAGTTAGGCAAGTACTTATGAACGTGTACATCTTTCCTCAATCTCTGATGGCTTTGATTACATTTATTAAACAGTTTACAAGCATAAAAACTTCCTAATCAACTGTTGTTATTGTTATAAACAACTTCCTGGTGTTTTGGAGCTCATTAGCTGTTTAATAATTGCAAACAAAGCCGCCAAAGATTGAGAAAAGACGTACAGGTTCGTAAGTGTTTGCGTAACTGCTTCGTGAATCTGGCCCCAGGTGAATAAAACCATATAAATACCAGCAAAGCCATTATGGAAACAGTCATAAGCCAACCCGCTTGCATGCTTAATTGCTTGCTACCCAACCTGCTTACATGCCTACTTGCTTGCATGCCTACCTGCACTTATTCCTACAAGGTTGCAAAATGACTCAAGCCTACTTGCTTACAAGTCAATCTACATGCATGTCTACTTGTATGCCTCCCTGTATTCAGCATTCATGACTCAAAAAGATTCAATACACAATTCTTTGTGAATGCAAGTAAAAATACGATACAATGCTGTACGGCAGAACAGTAACTTTATTTTTATAATAACAATGAATATGTTGTATCACTCAAGAATTAAAAAAAAAATCATCCCATTCTTTTCCTCCTGATCGAAATCTCTAGTTGCAACAAATCCATCACACCAATAAATTATGTCTGGTCTATTTTGCCAAATCAAGGTTGCACTGAAGTATATTGAAGATTTTCATGAATTCTTTCGCAATACTGTACTCTTCTGTTTACAGAGCATGTTTCTTTTTACCTAGTGTCTCTGTTCCCCCTAGCTGTAAATAGGTATGCGTGAAGTTAGTTAACTGTCTTGGGGGACAGGGGCGGGGTCAGTATTTCAACCTTGGGACAGGACCTCAATACAAGTATACATGTACACAGGCTTCCTGCTCCCCCCCCCCCCCAACAAAACTATTATTAGGATTCAAAATTATTCCTTGATCCATCGGTTGACAAGAATGTAGCAATTATACTTTAATTAATCAGCTCATCTTTATGTAGATGTGACAGGTTATCAAAACAATACCACTTTACTATTTACTACTAAATATCACTTCACCAGAGGCCAGCAATCCTGGCCTCTGAATGGGGTTCTTGGTTTTTCTATTGTCTCTTTGGTTCGTGATTGCCACTTCAGCCCATGACTCCTTTTTGAGCTCTCTCTTTGTTGGCCCTCACCTCTGGTGGTGGTGGTGTTGGGAAGCTTTTTGCTCTTCTCTGGAAGTGGGAACTTTATTTTTTTTAGGTCTGGGTGAATGGTTTTAAAGTCTGCAGCCACCACCTTTTCTAGCGCAAATTGGGATGATTGTCTTCCAGGGAAGATGGGGGGGGGGGTGTCCTTTGGTTATTCTTTGCTTGCTTGGCTAAGGGTGCATCGTTTGTTGTTTCTGGTTGCTGCAGTCTGTGATGTCATACCATCCAGCCAGCCTGCAGTCTGCCTTCGGGCCCACATTTTTCAAAGGTTTGTGACTGTCTTAAGCTGATATCTGAGCTCTGGAGGTTTTTGAGGTCTCCTGGGGTCCTGGTGGATTGCTACTAAGTCAGTGTTGTCCTGGGTAGGGTTTCTCTACAGGTGTTCAGTCTCTCCAGAAAACCAGCATTAAATGTAATCAAATGCCATTTGGAGGGCATTCCATGGCTTCCTGGGCAATCCCTCACTACCACGGGTTTCTCTTAGGTTCTGGACATTGTTGGCATTTGGTGCTGCCAGCTCTCGTGTTGCCACCTGGTGGTGGTCAGATCTTACTAAAGGTTTTGGCAGTAGACCATATGCTACATTGTTTACTTTCTGTGAACCTTGCAGTTGTCTATTTTGCATCGTTTCCTTTGTCAGGGATGTGGGGTTGTTTCTTTGGTGAGGGTGATCATGAAACCTCCCAGTTCCCTGTACCTCTGTAAAAGGAAGAAGTTTTGGACTATGTACTTCGGTAGGCTATCAAGGACTTGCAAGGATTGACGCGACTTACAGGTATGTAGCTACTGCACCGAGGAAACCACCAAGGCCTGGCCCCAGCTTGGGCTCGGGGAGTAAAAACTCACGAAACCACCTCCAGGTAAGGCCCCCAACTCACAGAAAGAGGCATTCCATTACAGCCAACATAAATGTGACTCGGTGACTTTGAAGCTATCTTGCCGAGATGGCTCCCCGCTACCGAATCATGACCCATATGAGTCCTGTATGGCCTACTGAGAAGCAGACCCAGAACCTGTCCCCCCCCCCTCCTCACAGAACTACAGGGAGCACAAGATTGTTACGAACACCCTCACTGGGAAAAAGTCCCGAAGGTAAGCAAAGCAATACAGATAACTAATGTCCACAGAAAATGAAGCACTGATACAGCCAAATGATTCTGGAAACAACTTTCCGAAACAAGCCAAATCCGCACCCCGATTCCCCTAGTTACGACTGGCCACCACCCGGTGGCAGGATCCTGGTAGCTCCTGGCTCTTGTGTTGCCTTGCCTCAGTAAGGAGCTGATAGACTACAAACCATTACACCAAGTATGGGGGATTGAACAGGGAGCCACCAAGGAATTACCAGAAAAAGACATTTCATTACATTCAATGCTGGTTTCCTGGAGGGTCCCTTTGTGGCTCCCTGAAACTATTTCACAACTGAAAATATGGAAAACATGGGACTGACCACGGGGAAGGAGAGAGAAAAGATCTGTTCACATGAACAAAAAACAGAAGGGAAAACCTGACTCAGGGCAACACAAGCCCAACTGGGACCAGGAACACTGACCAGATAATGGGCCACCAAAAACCTTGCAGACTACCAAAATCCAGGAGCCTGAAAAGCAGCCCACAACATGTTTGAGAAGACAATGGCCAAAGCTGTGAACTGACTGGAAGACGGCTAGACTCAATGATACCATGAACAAAATGGGAGAAACGAGCCCTGGAACAAGGAAACAAGGAGACTGGATCAAGAAACAGAATGATCACAGAAGCAGACTGGGTAGTGTACAGGAAGCAACAAATTACTGCCATCAGACAACAAATGATGCACCCAAAACTAAGACAGTTGGCCACCAAAGAGCCAGGCAGATCACCTTGTCCAATTACATCTCTAACCTAATACCTGGAGCAAAAGCTGAATTGCATAAGAGAGAGGAACCCCCACCTCAACTAGTGACGTCAAAAGACATCCACCATGAAAGCCTTGCGATTAGGGAATGGAGTCACATAAGAAGGAAGCCGGTGGTTCCATACCAATGTGAAGAGGTCCATCTTGGGAGCAACTGAATGAAGTGCAGAAGTGGAAGAAACTACCCCAGATAAATCCAAGCTACACTTAAGACAAACACAACCTGGGTCCCAAGAGCCTCAGCCACCTGGCTATCTTGAGGTTATCTTGAGATGATTTCGGGGCTTTAGTGTCTCTGCGGCCCGGCCCTCGACCAGGCCTCCACCCCCAGGAAGCAGCCCGTGACAGCTGACTAACACCCAGGTACCTATTTTACTGCTAGGTAACAGGGGCATAGGGTGAAAGAAACTCTGCCCATTGTTTCTCGCTGGCGCCCAGGATCGAACCTGGGACCACAGGATCACAAGTCCAGCATGCTGTCCGCTCGGCCGACCGGCTCCCCAGAGCAAGGGGAGGAAAGGGGGAGGGGGGATGCCACCAACAAAATCGGGCAGATAATTGAAGCAGCAGCAGAAAATAGCACACCAGCAGAATTGCCAGCTCCTCACCAACTCCAACATTACGAGAGACCTGGTGGGCAAATTTGGTCTGCTAGAATGATGCATTATATGGAGGTTCAAACTTTTAAGGGTGCACCATATTACAATTATTTTGGTATTGTTACCTGCATATGGACTTTATCTGATACTTTGTAAATTATGGTTATTCTGCAACTTTTTTATCATCATCATCTTTACCCTTTTCTGACCTTCATGAATAGGAAAATAGTAGTTATCAAGCAAGGATGAACAAATATTATAAGTCAAGCTGTTTAAAAGATATTAGGTAGGTTTTATTATTATTCTTAATTAGGAACTAAGTTTTTTATAATTCAATCCTGATTAAACAATCTTTAAACACAGCCACTTTCCATAAAGAATATTTTCACTACTAATAAAATTTTCTATGATCACTAAATTTCATAAAACTAAATTTTTAAAACCACTTGCATGAACTGCATTCAACATTTTTCTTTTAAAATTGTTCGTGCGGAAAATGTCCCGTCACCCGAGAGGATCATGTCCGATTTTGCAAAACGTAATCTGAAGCCACATACTATACCTAGAAAAATGTACACATCCTATAATACTATCCCATATATGCTGGAAACTAAAACCTATAATACTATCCCATATATACTGGAAACTAAAACCAAATTTGAATTAGAGAGAGGAAAAAAAAAAAGGTGCCTAAATGAGGTAGGTAAAAGACCGCTACGCTCACACCTCGCACAATTTCTTCAATAATTTGCTTTAAATTAAGGTATATGATGTTGCTTGGAAACACCATAACATGAGTGAATGCTATCTATAATTAAGCAGAGGCGGCTTGACTAATAAGCTCGTTAATAGATTTCTTCTTACAATTTAAAAAATTAATTGTAAATTATTGATTATTCATCTTCAAAAATTATTTACCATTATTAGTGCTATAATGCTATATAAAAAATTTTTATTTTCAATTTGGTTCTAAAACACACAAAATTTCTTGGTGATATTTAGTGGTTGTATTGATGCTAACATTATATATTGGGAACACTTATTGTTGGGTATTAAGATATTTGGACCTTTTCATATTATAAAACGTATCAAAATCATTTTATAACTGTTTTATTTACTTCTTTAATATCAAAACTATTAATAGTTTTGGTCTTTATTTATACGAGTTGTGCTATTTTAAATTCTTTTGGCAATACAGTAATGCTTATTTATTGTATAATACATATCTAGGTAATATACATGGTCTTTTATTGAGCTTTCCAGACCATCTTTTGAATTTTCATCATATCAACAAAAAAAAGTTCACCATTTTTCATTTAACTAAAAAAAAAAAAAAAAAAAAAAAAGCTTCTAATGGAATATATGAAAAGAATGTTATTCTTGGTAGATATGTAATCAAGTTTAAAAAAAAAATCATTTTTACCTGTTTTTCTACCCTGAAATTGGAACACAAGATTCAAGAAGATGCCACAGTAAAATGGTTAAGTAAAGAAACCTGATCTTGAATCTACATATGTCAGCTGAATCAATATATTCTAAGCTATTATACTTGATTGCTGAAACTTTCAGATTTACTCAATTGAATCTTTTTCCAAAATCTCCCAACTCATACCTTTCATAGTCACACCAGATTTAACAACCGGGTGCTTTAGCTTTACACAGAATATTTTGCTAAGTCTCACAATTACCAACAGTGTTGTGGAAAGCTTTTTAATTAACAGCAACTTCATCCTTCCATATTAAGATTCTCTATAAAAACAGCCATATGTTGTGAAGCATGTAGCATGCATATGCTTAGGATGTGCATTAAGTGCCCCATGCAAGCTAGGAATGCCTCACAATGCCACTCTCCTGTAATTTCTCTAATGTCTCAACGGCAACGAAACATTGAAAAACAACTGTAGAACTGCTTGAATTCAGATGGAAAGTCACAATAATGTGGCTGAAAAATGTTGACCAAACCACACACTAAAAATTGAAGATGACAACGATGTTTCGGTCCGTCCTGGACCATTATCAAGGCAGTTGACTTTATAATGGTCCAGGACGGACCAAAACATCGTCGTCTCTTCAATTTCTGGCTAGTGGTTTGGTCAATAAACACTTGAACCTTCGAATCCTCTGCCAACACGGTTATCAAAAATGACCAACCGACACCATTTGCTTGTGCTTAACCCTTCAACTGTGGCTTTGAAAAAAGTAAACCCCGTAAGTGAAGAACAAAATTTATTATTTTGTTTTTCACTTACTATACAATATGGATGAGTCATTGTCAAAATGCAATGAACAATTATCATTTTGTTTCAATGATCCTAAAACAAAAATTGTCTCTAGATTATACAAAATACATATGATTAATATTAATAACTTAACATACTATACTGTACAGTATACAAAATATCTGCAAGATGACTGTACAGATTTATAATTAAATATTAAGCCAGGTAGGTGGTGGGCCAGCATCAGGTTAAAGCAATTCACACTAAAGGATACATTATTTAATGAGAAAATTTTATTTTCTAACTAACAAGGGAATCTCAAGTAGAAAAATAAAATGGGAAAATGCAAATAAATATAATAGATTTAACATAATTTTGGAACACTACACTTATTTGGTGGTGGTGATGTCATGTGACCATAGGTTCGCAAATATTTACCGAGAATTTTGTTCCCCTTGCAAGATATTTTAGCAGAATTATTTTTTGTTTTACTTTGAACTGTAATCTTTCATGAAGCAATGTTTCTAATTAGACCACAATGAGTAGGAATGCCTTGGAGTGCAGTTTGCAGTGTGAGCGCATTCTATATATCATACCCAAAAAGAGTGGTCCACAGCCCAAGGGTTAAGGAACAAGGAGTGCATAGAAAGAACAAAGCTTGCTCTAACACATGAAAGATATATATTTGAAGAAAGAGGGGAAAAAAAGACAGCCACTGGTAAGAAAGAGAGAAAGCTAGATTGAATTGAGAAAGAAGTATCAATTGACAGGCCAATGTAAAAGTTGAGAAAATGATGTAGCAGACCACCAAATGGTGCTGCAGTGACAAACCCAGAAAAAAAAATATCAATCCATGAGACAAAGGGGCAAAACCCTTATTTGCTCCATGTTAGTGACTCCAAAGGCCAACTCTTTTACACTTTTTTTTTTATTTCATTCAATTCAAATTAAAACCATTATCTTTCTACAATTAGATGTTTAAAACTGCTTTATCATGTACCTCATTGTCAGATTCAAAGAGAATCTGATCATATTCCGAGAGAGCAACAAGGAAGATGATAGAAGTGACGTTCTCAAAGCAATGGATCCACTTCCGCCGCTCAGATCGCTGACCACCCACGTCTACCATTCTGAAATAAGAAGTGAAGGCTGGAATTGCTGGCAAATCTACTTTAAAAAAAAAAATATTATATATATATATATATATACATACACACATTGTATACACACACACACATTATATATATATGTATATATATATATATATATATATATATATATATATATATATATATATATATATATACACACACACACACAGTTTGTATTACAATAAAATCTATAAGCAAATAAACCTGAACTTGAAATAAACTTGTACGTACAAATAATTTAATATCTAGCCTCAATTTTAAAATATACTATCATAAGCAAACTTTATAAGCAAACTTTAAGCGATACTCAACACACTCTCTAGCTACTGTTCTGAGTTGTACGGTACAAGCAAGTCATTAACAAAACCTCTGGACAGGTATGTATACAGTATTTATTAATATGACACGTGTGTGTGCATATATATACTGTACATGACATGTTTACTTGTATAGGTAAGAATATATGCATAAAGAAAATGTATTCACAGTATACCTACACACACACACACACAATGTACTGTATACATACATGTCTATGAATATACACATGTATGCACATTTGTGATATCACCCAAGTGTAGTTACAGGATGATAGCTATGCTCGTGGTGTCTCATCTTCCCAGTACTCTGTCATATGACACTTTGAAACTACTAACAATTTTGGCATCCACCACCACCTCACTTGCTCCAGCCATCTACCACTATTGCAAGAGAATGTTCTAATATTTTGTTGGCACCTTTGTTTCCATATTGACATGAATCTTTGACCTCTTGTTCTTCAAGTTGCAGCTTTCAAGATATCCTCTTTGTCAATTTTGTTGATTCTGTTGATATCACAAAATTGATACCGACAAGAATCTTGTTAACTTCCCACATGCTGTTCATGCTATCCTGTTCACATGAGCTTCTGATGTTAGTATTGAGAGTATGCCTACTCCCAGGTTTTTTTCTCTTAGTTTCTTTTAATTTCTTTCCCTTTATAGTGTATGTACGTAATTATATGGAGGTCACCTATCTCTCTTACCCAGTTCCATTACTTTACACTTATTGGGATTGAATTCCAGCAGACTGAAGTTTATCAAGATCTGTTCCAAGTTCCTGTTTATATTTGTTAGTGTTTATTTGAAATTGTTCTTTCACTTTCCATGACTCCTTTTCCTTAAATAATTCCTGAAATTTTTCCCCTGTATCCTTAAAGTATTAGTCATGCTGGCGAGTTTCCTCTCTCTTTCCAAAATACTGTCTTGTAAGGATTAATGTTTCTTTTCAGATCTTAAATTTTCTAACATTAGGAAAATTGTCTTTATGAATCTTCCGCAAATCTTCTATTTTTACTAACTTGCCAAAAAAATATCACCCCTGCTTATTTATTCACTGGTGAAATCCAAGAAATTATCATCCCACATCATCTGAGGAACTGCTGTCTGCCATTTTCTTTGTTTACATGTCTCTATTGCATTTCCTGGTTCTTGTTTTTATTTTCCCAGATGTCTCTCTCTCTCGATATTCCTCATTTCCTTGCCCCCCCCCCCTTTCCTTCTTCTACCCCTGTATATTTATGGAAGATGGGACACCATTTACACACTTCACTTTACCACCACCATTTAGATAATGAAAATAATTCCTAGAGTCCCTGTGCCATGCGTCTGTGCATCGGTGTGCATTATATGGTTGTGTGTGTATATGTACATGTTTTGTGGACATGAGTGCGTGTGTTAAGGTGTGTGTGTGTGTGTACATACACACACACACACACACACACCAAGTGTATAGCACATTAGGATAAGTGTTATCCTCTTGTCACAAGATAACTGATAATACACATCATCCACCAAATGCATCACATAGTCACTTCTAACTTATGCATTGTAACAGAGCAAGGGTTAACATCAAGTTAATTACTTCAGCAAATAAGGCATTTAACTTTTTTTTTAATTTAATTTTTGTTATGTGATACAATTCCATTGAACTGAATTCCAAATATCTTTTATCTTGTATGATAATGCATAAACACCAATTAACCAATAGTTTTAATTCAGTTTGCTCAAAATGAAAAATGAAAAATGACTGGATTTCAAAATAATGACTACTTGAGAGCAAGTAAATACAGTATCGCCTAGTTCTCAAGTACACAGTAAAATCTTCCTATGAAAACGCCCACACACACACCATGGACCTCAGATCAATCACAACCTTGCTCAAGACAATCGACTTGAGAATGGTCCAGGACGGACCGAAACGTCGTCATCCCATCACCTTCTAGTGTGTGGTCTGGTCAACTTACTTTAGCCACGTTATTGTGACTCATCGCCTGCGCTAATATGGCTTCTTGCCCCACTTGTTAATTAACAGCCTGTAAGCCCATTTTCAAAGTGATAATCTATTATACTCAAAAGGGCCAGAGGTGCTCCAGATATTTAATTACTGTATGTAAAGATATTTTTCAGCCCCCATTCAGATAACTGAATTGGTTAAGCAACAGAACCGTACTAGGAGTACACTGTACTGAAAAACGTGTGTTCACACTTTGCATCAGCTAGCATCGCTATTCTTATGGGACTTATTTAAATTATTATTTAATGTTTTGCATTATTTCTGTATTTCGTTATTAAATACAAAAAGGTGGGATTGGTCAATGAATCCATACAAAAAAGCAATAAATGCATGGTTATACATTTCTGGCAACTGTAGATATTAACTATAAATTAAGAAAAATTAGAAGATATATATAGTTTACAATGCAAAAATAATAAATATCCATAAAATAATGGCATGTGTGTACTGTGTAATGTTTCACAATGGTTGTGGAAAAGAGTGCATAATTTTTTGTTTAAAATTGACGCTCTCTCCCCCTCCTCACTTCCCTTTGTCAAGGTTTACACAGCATACACCTAATGGGGGTAATTAACCATATTTAGTTTTTCATAAATCAATTATTCTTTATATTTTATCGACAATAAAATAATATGGAGAGGATGATGCAAAAACAACTGCTCCAATAAGTCTCGACCGACAAAAACAAAAGCAATGCTCTCCCTGTTATTGCTGTGTTATGCAATACACAAATTGCTTCATTTTATTAATGATATTCATTGTTTTCACATTACTAAACTTTATCTCTTATTTTTTTCTCTATAAAAACTGCTTGGAAAGGTCCAGACTTAGCCACAAATTTATGGATCAGCTGCTCAGTTAATTCGAATGTTGGGTTACATCATATACAATTGATAAATTGTATATCTGAGCATTTATATTATAAACCAAACGTACTGTATATCCTTCCCATCATTTCAGCCACTTCTCACAAGCCTTTGGAAGCACTTAAGACTGCCATAACCCGACACACCGAAGCGATATACCGAAAACATCATTGGGTCATACATTCATTGCCCAGAAATGTGAGAGTTGCAAGAGTGAGTGATGCCTTTGGAAGGACATGCCCAAAAATATGGTTTACAGGTGGAATATGAAATACCAGGTGCAATTCCCATACAGTGGCCATGGCAGTAAGTTTACTCAATGGACAGCCAACTCACTTACTAAAGTCACCAACAAGTTTAGCATCCAATGCATTTACTTTTGTCCTCGCTGGCACTCTGCTGGCTGATGATGATGGTGCCCCATGTCTATTCATTTCTGAAGCAGCAGCATTGCCAAAACATTAAATTAACTGAGGTCCACCTGTTTTGCATTTGGGGGTTTTCCTCTTAAGCATCATAATCACATGGTGGTATACTATTTTTAACATTAATCATCCCTGTAAACACAGACTAATAATAATACAAAATTACAGTACTGTGTAATATCTACAGTAGCAGATGATTCATTCTAGAGAAGTATTTTCTCAACTTTACAGAGTATCTTTGATGGATGAAGAACCAGTGTCATAACATGGCCATTCAAATTTGTTAACCCATCTTATATAAAGTTTCCCCATTTTATTTGAATCAAGCTCCAAATATAAGTATATTTCTGAAAGTCCCTATAGTTAAAATATTAAATGAATAACTATTTTCAGGAGTAACAGCTTAAAATGTCTGCACATATACAGTACTGTATCAAGTGTCAACAATCATAAAACAAAGAAAATGTACTGTTATTACTGTACTGTATTTATGAAATTTCTCTTATTACCGGAAGCAATATCTATCTTGGTATTCAAGACCTTCACATTAATACCCTGCAGTCCAATTCATCTTTACATTTCAACAGCACCTTAGGAAAAACTGGCTCTATACATGGTCTTGAAACAATTCTAACAGACCATCCATTCACAATGAACCAAGCTGTGCTCACCATGTCAAGCTCTGCTACAGAGGTCATATAAGAAAACAGATTCTTGATGGTAGAATAAAACAAGTTCACAAACATTCCTACCTGATAGTCATCAGTGACCCTCTAGTAGGATCAGCTAAGGGGGTTCTCCTCCTCCACACCACCCGTCAAGGGTCCCCCCTCCTCAGAACCACCCGTCAAGGGTCCCCCCTCCTCAGAACCACCCGCCAAGGGCCGCCGCCCCCCCTCCTCGGAACCACCTGTCAAGGGCCCCCTTCACCCCCTCCTCGGAACCACCCGTCAAGGGCGCCAGACAGCTGGGTGGACAGCAATGCAGGGCCAATGGAATTTGAGTATAACACTCCCATTATGCTGCCAAACTGCTTCAAGACTCGTCTTGAAGGAAAACTAAGAGCTAATCAACCATTTTAAACATTACCATTTTCAGTGACGTATAATTAGTCAAGATTGACCACATTTGTTTCAGATGCATTGTGGCTCTTAACCAGTATTATCCCTTCACCATGGCAGCCTTCTGAACTTTGATCATTTTCTTTAACTGATCATTCCTACTTCCACCAGATATTCAAATGCTAGAACAGATCACTCACTGGAAAGAAGGCTTCTAATCTTTCCCTTTTATCATTTCATTCAGAGTGAATATTAACACAAGTCTGGTTGGTTACTCATAACTCATGTTTGTCAGTCCCTTTACATGTTGGCTTATTAAGTTCTGACTACTGCTACTGTAGCAGGAGTCTGAAGTCCTCTACTCCTGTAATACCCAGTGAGGAAGGGGACATAATATACTGTATCACAATACCTGCTGAAATTGACCATATATGAATGCTGCAAAAATCCAGCATTAAATGCAATTAAACATATATCTAGTGGTCTCCAGTGGCTCCCTGAGCCCCTCACCTAGAATCCTCCAAACCTTGGATATCACATCAGGCTCTTACAAACCCTGAGCGTATACTGGAGACCAGAACCAAAATTCTCCCCCACCCTCAATAGAGACAGGGAAGTCTGGGAATACATCACACTATAGAACCAAAGGAATGACCACCAGAGAGGTGGAGCACACCAAAACAAACAACCACTTGAACAATATCTGCAATCCTGATGTGAGGCTACTTATATGCATGTTATCTTGAGGTTATCTCGAGATGATTTCGGGGCTTAGAGTCCCCGCGGCCCAGTCCTTGACCAGGCCTCCATTTTGTTACACACCCTCAGAAAGCAGCTGTCTAACTCCCAGGTACCTATTTACTGCTAGGTAACAGGGGCATCAGGATGAAAGAAACATTTTGCCCATTTGTCTCCACCTCCACCGGGAATCGAACCCGGAACCTCAGGACTACGAATCCGAAGCGCTGTCCACCCAGCTGTCAGGCGCCCCTGACAGCTGAATGTTGTCAAAACTATTCACTAGTTAGCACCACCTGCTCACCACAAGATGGCAGCCATGGTGACGTGGCGTAGTTCCTCCCGATGCCTCACTACTACACAGGCATAGGTTCTTGGCCTTGCTCACGTTTGTTCCTTTCCAGATTCACACATGATTTTTCGTACCAATCTAATGTGTATGTCCCGATTTGCCTTGTCTAGTTGCCACTGGCACTGCCAGTCTTCAGCCAGGGTTCTCTTCTCAGCAAGGGTTTGAGAATTTGGTCTCCTCTCAAGGGGCCTTGTGCTAGGTAGTGCATGTGCCTTTGCTCCTCTGCAGGGCCCAGTGGTTATCTTGTTATCTTCAGGTTATCTTGAGTTGATTTCGGGGCTTTTAGTCCCCCCGCGGCCCGGTCCTCGACCAGGCCTCCACCCCCCAGGAAGCAGCCCGTGACAGCTGACTAACTCCTAGGTACCTATTTACTGTTAGGTAACAGGGGCACAGGGTGAAAGAAACTCTGCCCAACGTTTCTCGCCAGCGCCTGGGATCGAATCCGGGACCACAGGATCACGTGTCCAGCGTGCTCTCCGCTCGGCCGGCCGGCTCCCTTAAGGTAAGTCGGGTAAGTTGGACATTTATTTCTTTTGAATGCATACCATGAGTGTGTTTCTGAATTTTTAGGCTCTGATGGCAGCTTATGCCTATGCCTTCTTTTGCCTCTCCCCCCCCCCTCCCCAAGGTCGGGGGTTGGTGTGAATTTTGTGATGCACTCCCAACACTTAACCTTCCTGCCGGACTTTGTCTGGGTTGGTGCCAGTGGTTAACATTTTAACATTCCGATGATGCATTATCAGTAATTGATGCATCATCAGTAATTTACTGCAAAAAGAAACAAGTATCTGAGGTTAAATATAAATAATTTTACTTAATTTTGGTATTCATCAACCTGAAATATGAAGGAAATCAGTTCACGGAGAAATAAACGATGGGCAGAATCTAGGTACCCTTTTGATATGTAGATACCGACATCTGATGGTCATCGAGGAAATAGTTTGGCCAACTAGCAATTATCTTGACCCTTCTTGGCAGTTTCTTTGAGTCTGAGCAGTACTTAGAAAGATTTGAATGTAGTTAATGAACTTTCTACTGATTAAAACATTGTCTCCTTTGTGTCAGCATGACCCAAAGGGGACATTTGAAAAGATCCAAATTGCACCAGTACAAAATGTTGACCAACTCTAACTATACCTAATCCTGTCCATGGAAATAACAGCTTCCCTAAGGAAGCAACCAAGTGGTACAACTCAAAGAGAAACAAAACAAACCAATATATATATATAACATTCTTGAAAATTAAAGAACAGCAATAGTAAATTTATCACTGAAAGCTTGCTTTTGTTCTATGCAATAAAGATTCCAATGGTGGATAGGGAATCAAAGAATTAACCAAAACTTTGGTAAGCAACAGCAGATTCTAGAGGAGAATCTCAGGGTTACTAAAAGGTATCTGAACTACATTTGTAACTGTATCAAGCACAGGACAATATAGGTAGCAGCTGTAATTGCAATAATACTAAATTACTTGTATAATTTCTTATGGGAGACAAGTGGATGGTGTTTGTAACTGCAGTTATGGGAAACATGGGCAGTGTTTTCATTTAAATTCTGATAAACACTGAAAACAATAGCAATGCTGACATGGGGTACAAGGGACTACCTCCACAATGTTGGGTTATGGCAACGGCACTGGAATAAAAGTCTATGGCACTGGGTTCTAGCTACTCTGCTCTGGCCGACAGGGGAGGGCCTATGAATTCAAGATTGTCTAATACCTAAAGATGATTGAGTCCAGATCAAAGGGGTACTCAATGATCCCAGTGGTTGGCACTCGAGCCCTAAGAATATCCTGCTCGGTCGGTAAGAAGTCCGATGATATGATACGCTCCAAATCATCAAGATAACTGCAAGAGAAAAATAAGTTTCTTTGTCGGCGTTCCTTTGACAGTGTAGAGTGATGGATGGCGATGATGAGTAGCATCAGTGAAATATGAATACCACCACCTTGCTGATGCCTTTTATGCTGGTATTTTAAACAAGTTACCTTAATTTATACATTATTAAAAAATGACTAACCAAATGCAATTAATACAGGGATCAGCAAGGCATAAACTCATCAGTCCGCACTCTACCTACCAACCCAGGCATACACACAACACCCTCCAGCAGAACATACCTAAATCTGATTTCTTCTAGGTCAAAGGGATACTCTATAATGCCTGTTGTGGGTGCTCTCACTCTTAGAATATCTTGTAGTGTGGAAACATAGTCCTTGGCAGCTATGCGGTCTAAATCTGTTAAATAGCTGTAGGGATACAAAGAAAGTTTAGCTACTACAGTAATGAAAGTGTTCAAGGATACAAAAAGCATTACAAACTACAAGAAATAAATTACTAAGCATAAAAGGATGACAGGGCCTAAATACTTTAGGACTAGTTGTCAAACAAATTGTAGAATACTAAAACCTTGGGAAGAAAAAACTAAATACCTTGATGGCTCAAGATACATTCAGAAACAATTATGACATTATATTAACCGACTTCAGGTATCCTTGAAGATAATTCAATTCACACTATGCACAAAATACAGTACACAGTATTGAAGATAAAAGAAATTAAATGTAAATCAAAAGCACAAAACATTAAACAATCACACCACAAATTGACTTCCTCTGTAGGGTAAGATCACCAGCTTTTAGCTAACTTAAGCTACTTTTAGTTTTCAGGGAATAAAATATATTTTAAATATATCATTTTGGAAAAACTTATAGTGTAGATTGAAAGAGAAGACATACTTATAATATGACAATCCAGTTCAGTCTGTAAATTACTGTACAGTATGTACAGATACTAATCAAAATATGTCGGTGGCCAAAATTACGTCGCCATCTAGAAATCGGCCACCTCGGCAAAGATAGTTGTATCATGTTTTCATTTGGCTTCACTAGTATAAACAATTAAATTACATTCATATTAAACCTACTTTATTTTCAACACAATTTACACAAATTTCACTTTTCTAGAGGGGCCAAAAGGTTGCTCCCTGTAGCTATCTACATTGAGAGAGCTCCACATACCTGAGTCACATCAGCTCTAAGAGAACTTTATAGCCCACTACAAACTAGTCCCTCCTCAGAGGCACAGAGAGTAAGGGATTTTTAAGATCACCCTCACAGAAGGGCGCACACACAACAGAAGCACAGCAAAGCAGACAACTCCTTTACTTTGCTGGTTCACAGAGGTAAAAGGAAAACGGCAAACAACCCTACAAATGATCCAACCAGTAGTCGAGTTGAACTCCACCAGTTTAAGCTGGACACTGCAACGTGGCAGCACCACTGGGAGTTGCTGGCTCCCTATGTCAACAATTCTCTCATCCTGACTTCACGTGGTGTTATTTTCATGTGCTGATTTGCAACCAGTCCTCCTAATATATTTCAAGTATAAATTATTATATATCTCTCACCTGCACTCTAGAGAATACAAAGTTAATTTTTTTTAAGCAGTCTCAATAATTTAGATGTTTTATAGAGCAGAGTTGGATAATAAATGATCTTTATTCATTTTCCAGGTCTCCAATTTCTTAAGCTTTCAATGGGGCTATTATTGTGCAACAGTATTCTGCTCTAGACACTAGAATCTTAAATCCAATAAAATATCTTTTTCTAGTAGTCTTGGTGGTTCACCTGAGATGGCTTCCCACAACCGAGTCACATTAGCCATAGGAATTGTGATTGGCTTACCAGAGCAAGAACCGGCTCTCCTCACAGAAGCACAGACCGTTATGATAACTCACACTGAGAAAGCATCCAAAAAATAAGAGAAAAAAATTGCAAACAACTGCAATTTTCAATAAAACAAAACTTCATGTTGGCAGTGGAGACAGTCAAGTCCTCCCCCCTCCCACCAAGGTTTTGGAGCCTTCTATTTCTGTCTTAGTTTGGGATGAAGCCTTCCTGTCTCATCAGGCATCTGGTGTAGAGCATGGATCTGCTCCAGGGGTCTTCACATGTGATTTCCTGGAACAGGGTGGAGTCTGAGGGGGGGTCCCTGGATGCCTTTCATCTCTGCATGGTCTAGTGCCTTCTGTGGAGGGTTTTTTGCTCATGGCAGAGATCACCACCTATCCTCCTTTGATGTTTGAGCTTAATTCCATGGCTGTTTTTCCCCGGATTTGCCCATTGTTGGCATATTATATTTCATTACAACCATATACTTATGGAAACCATATGAACATAATCGGTATATATATCTAATTAAAATGGAATTTTATACAATAACGATCATTGCATTGGCATAGTAGCATTTGCGACGATAACCGCTTTAGAACAGTAAGCCACCATGAAACTATAGCAGGATTTTTTTAGGGTAAAGATAAACTCCACTACATTCATATAGAAATATTATACCCATATTAAGATCACTGGTATAAAAACCTGATTATAATAGTTAAAATCAACAAATAACTGCATTACACTGAGGATCAACATATGACAATAACTGCATTAAAGAGTTAAGAATTCACTGCACCCTTCATCTCAGTGAGGGAGCTAAATTCTGGTTTTGGTCTATGGTAGGCTGATTGCATCATCTACTCAATGTGACTCCTCACAACTCCTAAGGCTGATGTGACTCAAATGTGGGGCTATATCAGTGTGGTTAGCAACAGGAAGTCACCCGAGGCCCATCAAGAAAGAGAAGTTTCAATACATTCAATGCTTTTCTTCTCTTTACCAAATTATTGAGTTGGAGCATAGGAAATTCAATGTATCTATTCTGAAGGAAATTGTATGACTAGTTAAGATTTATAATAATAAGTTTGGCCACTCAGAAAAATATTGGCCATCATTAAAAACGGGTTTAACCCAGTTAATAAGAAAACTGAATACAACATTTTAAAAGAGCAAAAGTTTTGGTTATGGGAATATAGTTAGACCTGTTTTGGAAAAAATCAGATGACTGGTTTTATTTTGAAAATGGAGAGAATTTATTTAAAGGAGACTGTAATTACCCTCAGGGTATACACCAAAAGTGATACAGTACATATAAGATTAAATATGGAATGGAATGCAATGTCAAAGAATGAAAGACTTGTCAAAAAGTGGTTCTAGATAATGCCAAGGACCAGCTCTAGATTATGTAGACTGGTTTTAAATGATACAAAAGACCGGCTCAAGGTCATGCCGATGACTGGCTGTAGGTCATGGCCGAGATCTGGCTCCAGCCAACATGTTCAGGGCCTTTTTTCTACCTGTATGATTTGTTTTGTTTTTTTCCAATTGGCTTCGACATACTTGGCACCAGTGGTCGGCCATATCAGCTAAATCTAACTATATTTTCAATATTTACTGTGTGTCTTTCTACTGTATTATTTGCCTGAACAAAAATTAACAAAACTGATCAATAATACAGTAACTACCTAACATTAAAAAACTAGTATAATGACAGACAAGCAAAATAAATGCTCAAAAGTATAAGCATAATATTTCTTTTGATATTTTTCTGTATTTGCACATACTGTACTGTAAAATACTAATATAAACTGAAGCATTTAAAATTTTTAACTATACTGTATGAGCACAGTTATCCAAAGCCCACTGATCCGGATATTGGGTAATTCGGCCAAAATCCTTTTTTTTTTTTCCCAGGGATATCCTGCACAGGCCCTAAGCCTCTGGCTGGCCAAGTAAGTGTTACTTGTTTCTGTTTTACTTAGGTGGTGTATGAGTATTTAACTCATATGGTCGCTTCAGTAAGATTTTGCCCTATGTGTTTAACAACTTCTGCTCTGTTAAATCTAAGTTGAAATCTTATTGGGTTTATAACTGTGCACTGTGTTAGATAATGTTCCAGTGGTCTGTCAGGCATTTCTCCACAGTGCTATACAGCTAAAACTTCGTCACATGTGGACAGAAATCTGGATAACAGGAGATTAGGTTATGTAAATTTTGAAGAACTACACATTTCAAGATCAATTAATTTATAAGAATATTAACTACAACAAGCCATGCTGAAGTTTCTGCTTTAAATTATATGTTTGATTTATAGTGTGTGGAAATTTGAATTATGTTGGTTGTGGTACAAAAAAAATTGTGAGTATGTTCATTTTTGGACCTCCTTGGCAAGAATTCCTGCTTATCCAGATGATTATCCAGAAAGATCCATCCCACATAGTCCGGATAAGTGAGCTTAGTCAGTACTAACCAAGTTTTAGGCACTACATGACTTTTTGTCGATAGTGGCTTACAACTGGCAACCTTACCCTAAGCAAGCAAATTCTGAGGGGAGAAATTCCTATTAGACTTTGGGGATAAGATCTTAAGAGTAAATATGCAATTCATACTTTAACAAAAAGGGACTTGATTAGGGGTCAAAATGTTTTGTGAAAGAAATCATTACTACAAAAGGTGTCCTAAACTTGGGGATGGGCAATGGAATACACCTTCAGGTCTTTTTATGCACCTAGTTATTACATATAAATATACTGAAAATTACTAAAAAGCAAATAGAAAATTTCTAATGAAAGCTGACATCATTTAGAACTATGTTGAGTTTATCATTCACATTGCAAGAACTTGACCAATACTGTACAATAAATAAGTTTATATTTATATTTACATATATGTAAATCAAAATTTGGAGGAATAGACAAAGTGTGGAGCATTTCATTCCATTTATAGACTTGACATTTATCACAACAGGACTGACTAGCACAGCCCTGCTCGCTAGGATAGCTGTAACCTCAATGAATGAAGAGGTGCATGTAACATGAAGAAATCTATTCAAATAAAACTGTAGTCTTAATTCTTACACAAAATAATACACAGAAATGCACATAAATTATATCAACCTTACCTGCCAGCCTTTACATAGTAAAGAGAATATCCTCAATGTTAAATCTTAAGAAACATCCTTTATATATACAGTATACAGTAGTCATACATACATTAAAATTAACTGCAATGACATTTAGGTAAAATGCATTCCTTTTATATACTACATTTCACACAGTCTGCCTAAATAGATTTACAAGAAAGGGTAATTCATTACTGTACATAAATGACAGGAAGAGTACTGTACTAATTTAAGTAAATCTTATAAATGGAGAGAGAATTGCTAAATGTTGAACGAGATATTTTAAGTTGATGGTAAACGGCGTTAAGGTGAAATATTAAGGGGGTGGGATGGTTTGAGGGGGTTTAGTTGTGTGGTCCAAAATGAGAGCAATAAAAAGAAAGGGTAGCATTCTTTATATCGCAGAATATGTTAGGGAGAGGGGCGTGATATTTCAAGAATATGTTAGATTAAATGTAAGGTAGGTAGATATATATGTATATGTAGGTTTCTATGTTCCAGTGTGTTAGGAGAATGTTAAAGCAAAGAATGAGATGGAGGTCTTCTATAATTAACAGAATGATTGTGTGGAGAAGCTATAAGGTGGTACGAAAGTCATTATACTGATGCGATATGAATGCTGGAATGGGGGATGAATGGAGAGAAGTTGTTGGAAATGGGATGTGCTAGGCATAATGAAAGGATGACTTCATGTTGGATATATTTTTGAACACTTTTCTGGGAGGGCACTTTCAGTGGCTTCCTGTTGCCGGATGCCTGGATAGATTTACATGTCACACCAAGCCTTTATGAGTCACTAAAAGTCTATCAGAGACTTGGGTCAAAACCTGGTCCACTCAAAAGAGGCACAGACAGCACGGGATGCTAGATCACTAACCAAGAGAATAAGCTACCAGAAAGGACAAGAAAAAAACAGACAACAGCATGGTAAATATAAACTACTCTGAAAATTAGGTCATTCCCCTGCTAGTTCCCCCCTCCCATCTAGGTGGCAGCTCCAGGAGCTCCCGGTCTACCTGCAGTCAACTCATCAGCCGTTCCCCTGGTGGGTGTGACCCTGTTCACGTCTTCGTGTTGCCTTCACCCTTTGGGTACCAGTTTTCCAGGTAAGAGTTGACCATTCCTTGGTACTGTCTTGCAGGGACTATTTGCTTATGTTTGTTCCAATTCTATTACTTGCTTCATGAGCATGCATGTGCGACTCACTTGTGGACCTTGAGCAAGTGTTCACCTCAAGCTGCATGGGCTTAGGGTTCACTTCCCTATGCACTTGGCTGGTGTTGCCTCTGCCTATCCAGGGTTACCTGCTCGATTATCTACCCTGGTTGGTTTGATGTCTATCCCTGAGAGGCCTATAGATGTTCCCTTCCACCATCTCCAAGTAGTGCAAGGATTTTTTACATCTCTGAAGGGTTCAGGGTTTGGGCAGTCTGGATTCTCTGTATGGAGATATGCAGAAGTTTGTGTGCTTATTTTACAGTGCATCACTTACATCCTTATTAAGAGCCTTTAATCTTGAGTTGTGTTCAGTGTGTGCTGGCGAGTGGTGGCCCTGTGCCTGGTTTTCTTGCTCGTTTCCTCTGTGGAGCTGGACTTCATCTTCTGTATTCTCGGGGTTTATCTGTGCAGTTTACATTCCAGTTGTGCGTAATGTTATTGGAGGTGGTCTCATGTTTCCGTCCTATTTCCATGGAGCGGACAGTCGACATGCACTTCCATTGGCTTCACAAAAAGTTTAAGAGCCCTCAGGCGAACCTCTATATTGGTGTGAATCGGTGACTTTCGTCCAAGACATCGGTTCCCACTTGCGAGGCTATTGGAGTGAATGCATTTCGACTGGATTAGTCAGTGGGAGTTCTAGTATTTCTTCCCCTTGGATCAGCTGATGCCTCTGGTCCTTTCCATACTGGAAACATTTGCTGGCAGGGTGATCCTTCTGGCTTCTTGGTAGCCAGCTCAGCTGTGGTTTCCAACCCCTTCTGGCCCGTTGTCCAAACCACCATACTTCTCAGCAATCAATCTAGAGTTGTTCTACAGTTTAAGGCTCTCCTTCAATCATCACATTTTGACTTTATAAGTCGGGTTTACTGCCATTTGGATGGTCTGCAGGTGGCAGACCTCTTTGTTTCTCCCTATATCTTACATCACAGCAGAAAAGTAAGAGGTCCCTTGGCATTCCCTCTCAGCTATTCCTGTCACTTCATTGCTTGTCTTCAGTTTCAGCTCTGGTGGTCTGTCCTTTTTGTCATGGTTGTTGCTGATCATCTTTTATGTAATATTGTCTCTCCATATCATTCAGCTCTGGTATAGCCACTTTTGTTGCCATTTGGTGTTGACGTTTCGCAAGATCTTGTGTTTTTTTTTTTTTTTTTTTTACCTCTAGCCTGTTCACTATCCTCCTGAGCCTCCTCAATCTATGGATCAGGTTTTGGACTTTCTTTTGGTTCTCAGTTGCCCCCTTCAGTCTGGGATTCATTTTAAGGAGCCTGAATCACTGAAATTTGTAAACAATATTGAAAAACACTCAAGCTACAGCAAAACATGTTTAAAACTACTAAAGCAATGTAGCAACACTGCTACAAAACACTGGTGCAAAACATGTGTCATTTTGACGTGCTTACGGTATACAGTATTATGCTATTTTTTTTTCTATAACCGTATTGAGCTGACCACATGGGGCTACCTGGGGTAGTTCTTTGTGGTTATTTAACTACAGGGGACCACCATTCGGCTCATTCAGAAAACCAGTCTTGAATGTAATGAAACAGTTCTTTCTTGGTAGGTCTCAGTGGCACCTAGGTCCTTCCCATCCTACCAAGTGTGTCGGTCTGTTGTCTAAGACACTAGACTGAGGATTGTTGATAAGGGGAGCCAGCAGCTCCCAATGGTGCTGCTACCTGGTAGTGATCGGCTGCAGCTAGGGATAGGTTTCCTCTAACTACTTGGTGGATCGTTTGCAGAGTTTTTCTACTTCAATTCACTTTCTTTGTGAACCTTGCAGTTGTCGGTTTTGCTTCACTTCCTCTCTGCATGTTTCTAAGGCGATTGTAAGAGTTCCCTGCTTCTTGCAGATTTTGGCCTCTAGTCTCTGGTAGGCAATTAACAACTTTTAGGGTTGAAGTGACTCATTTGTGTGGATTTATCTTGGTGCAGCTAGCTATAGGGATCCACTGAGGTCCATCCATAAGGAGGCATTAAATTAAGAGCTTTTTTTTTCCCCCTAGCTTTCTGGGCTCTAATTTGGATTAATCTATGATTTCCATACTTCCCTCACCTCCGAGTGAACCAGATTTTGATCATGGTTCCTAATGGGCAATGTATGACTGAGATATGCCTGTACCTTAAGCACCAGAGAGCTAGGTGAAGTGAAAAATACTTCAAAACACATGCATACAATCACACTACTATGATGAACATGTGTAATATTTCAAATTATAGTATTTGGGTTAAGCATTATTGAGACATTGGCCAAAAACAAACATTTCCTATTAATATTAAATGTAAATTTAGTCTAAAAATTGCCTACATTAATTACCAAGCTCTAAGAATTTCCACATCACATGGTAGAAAAGCAAATATAAATAACTAATTGTAAATAATTACTTTGATAAAAGTAAAGTTTCTACAATGTTCCAATGCACAATGCAACCTCAATTCAGGAAATCTCACTTTGGTGAATCTCTGGTTTCAATACATATTTTTCAGGCCGGATTATTCATTCACTTCGTCGAACAAGTGATCGGCGAAGCGAGTGACGTGCAAATTTGCTTACAATGCAAGGCCAGAGTTCACAAACCTGTGAGGTAGTTGATGGGCTTGAATTTAGAAAATTTAATTTAAGGGGGGTTGGATTCTGAGACATGCTGGCAATCATGGAAAAATATCTTTTAGTCAGGTTCTCCTGATAGATGTCCATCATGTAATCAGTTGAAATACAATTCTGCTCAGTGAAATTCACCCATAAGGCTTGAGAAATATTATGGAATGAATGATAACACTTTGAATTTGGCTCCAATCAAATTTTTAATGCTTTTCGTAGATGAACACAACAGTACAATAAGTTGGAGCCTGCAAAAACTACTGAATATATTTAAAACAAAATTCTATGCTTCATTTTTATTTTGAGTTGGCACAGTTTTAGTTCACACAGGAAGGAGCCTTGCTACCTTTGAAAGAGGTCTCAAAACTGGCACATGGGAAATAAGCTTCCTGTGGTGAAATCTCTTGACAGTCAGGTTCTCATGGTAGTTGTGCATTATATGAACAATTCAAATTCAAATTTTCCTCCATGAACTTAACTCGTATAGCATGGGGAAAATTAGTAAACTCCTTTAACATGGCTCTGGTCACATTATTAATAAATTTGTAGATGAATAAATCATTAAGAGAAACAGCATAACAATTTATTTTTTTGTTTTAAACAAAAAATTGCAGCATACAAATGCCTTCTGAAAGAATCTCCAGTTGCAAAGAATCTCTAGATGCAAGAACTCAGCACTGCTCTCGTATAGTTCACAGAGTCGAGATTGCACTGTAGATTGGTACTGTATTAAGAGTTTCACAATTTATTCTACAAATCATTGAATGTAATTTTCAGAAATACATCATTGCAACAGTACCAAATAAAAATTAAACGATAGAAAACAATGAACGTACTATTTTGCGGAATCTGTAAGCTGGTACTCTCTGCGTCGGTCATAGCAATGTTGGATGCCTGTATCTTGCCATAATGATTTCATAGCAGTCACATATGGTTCCTCAAATGTAGTTACCGACTCATAGTCCACTGATCTTACCAAATCTGCATGTTCCTGAAATGCAATTTGGAATACTGAACATACAGATAAAAAAACAAAAGCAAGCAATTTAATGAATTATATAAATAACAATTTAAAGTAAGTACAGATGGGGCCTCAAATTTATTCCAAGTTCCAAAGAGCACATGTGAATCTTTATTTTGCACACAAGCCAAGCACAGATTAATGCAAATTAGAACATAAGTATAATCATCACTAATCCATGGGTGTACCCACCATTCTCTACAGTTTTTAGGAGTTCAACACACTCCACATTCTTGAACTTTACGAACTGTATACTGTATTTAGATTATTTTTTCATCATTACAAATACCCGACATCTGGTTGATACCTGGTTGATTGGTTGATGGTTTGAACTTCGTTGTGTAATGAATCTGTGACTAGAATGTTGATGAAGCATTAAATATCAGTGCTTAAAATATATTTTATAGAGTACAGAATGAAAAAGTGAACTTTTTCTCCAAGGACTCTGGAGGCTAACCCTACTTTAACCAAAATATTGTACCATTAGCCCTTAAAGAGCGGTTATCATGCGTCTATTCCAAACTGCAATGACCCAAGGGTAGACCACAGGCTGGCTGAACTGAATCACACTACGGACAACATGGGATAAACAGGTCTTAGAACAAGCAAAACAAGGACACCAGGTCAACAAACAATGAGACACATGGAACGTCACAATAGGTGTGCAAGTAACGGCAGACAGCAGCAACCAGGCACAACAAACTATGCATCCCCTGCTAAACAAACCAGAGTCATGATGACCAAACCACATATCAGAAAATTAAGAAATAACAATATTTTGGTCCACCCTGGACTATCATAAAGTACATACAGGTGGGTATAGGAGCAGATGACCTCTGACTCCTGTTAGCAGGCAAAGAGCTTTCCCTTCCAATAGCTCAAAGAAAATCTTACCCTTCTAGTTTTCCCTCAAACATGACCTGCTGCCTGTCTTAACAAGTACACAATTACTGCTGGATGAACAGAGACAAACAGTGAAGGATCCCTGGCAAGAACTTGATCTCAGACCAAATCACTTGCAAAGCAAGCATGTAACCACTGTCTTCACATTTAGGCTAGTCCTTCCCCGATGTTCCTTGCTTTCCAGAGAAAAGCTTGTCCAGAGGTTTCCTCTGGATGGAACAGGCAAATCAGCAAGAGAATTGGTTGGCTTGGGCCACACCTGGTGGCAGTCAGGCACAATAGGATTAATATTTTTATACTGCCGTTTGCAGTTACCTTTGGTTCCTAATCTAATTCAAGCAGTGGCTTGTTTTGTAATGCTTATGCTGTCTGGTAGAGGTTTTCTGTTTTAGGTCATGGGGCCTGACAGCCGAGTGGACATCGCTTTTGATTTGTAGTCCTGAGGTTCCAGGTTCGATTCCCGGTGGAGGCAGAAACAAATGGGCCGAGTTGCTTTCACTCTGATGCCCCTGTTACTTAGCAGTAAATAGGTAACTGAGAGTTAGCTGGTATGGGCTGCTTCCTAGGGGTGTGTATAAAAAAAAAAAAAAAAAAAAAAAAACGGCCTAGTTGAGGACTGGGCTGCGGAGATGCTAAGCCCCAAAATCATCGAGATAACCTAAAGATAGGTACATAATCCGATTCTCAGGTTTACGATTCTAGGATTCTCAGTCCCTGGCTTGCCGGTGGGGTGGGCCTCAAAGGGCCTGGTGCTTTTTTTAAGGCATGACTTAACAAGTGCTTAGCACACTGGACCTACTGAGTCCCACAAATTATCCCTGCTATGAATACTGTACCTAAATATTTTAGAACCAGAGTAAATTCCTCAAAGGCATCCCAGATCCAGAAAGTCAAACTTACAATGTTGGCTGAATCTCCATACGATATCTGTAGGAGATCCATAGCCCTGATCATAGACTGCATGGCCATGAAAATATTCTGGAAGACCAGCTTGATGAACCCTCTCTTATCTTCATCGCTGTAACCAGCACCATGGATAATTCGCATTTGTTTGATAAATGTTGATTTGCCAGATTCTCCAGTGCCTGTAAAAGAAAAGCCCATTTAATTTGTATTAACCAACAACAAAAATGCATGGTAAGACTTATCAAGCGTCAGGACAAAAAATCAGTAAATACCAGTACAATTCTACCAAAATTTTTGTAGTATGATATTACAGTAGGGAATTTGTTACATTTGAGCAATTATGGTACAGTATTGCAGGCGATGAGTCACAATAACATGGCTAAATTATGTTGACCAGACCACACACTAGAAGGTGAAGGGACGACGACGTTTCGGTCCGTCTTGTACCATTCTCAAGTCGAAACGTCGTCGTCCCTTCACCTTCTAGTGTGTGGTCTGGTCGACATATGGTACAGTATTCCTGTTACCTACAACAATATACCTTTCAAGACATTAATGAAATTACATTATAAAGCAAATGCCAATAAAAACAGCATGTTGTAATTTGTTTTACATATGCAACCAAAAACCATAGTGCTCTCACACAATAGAGAGTAATGCAGGCAATCATATGTATACATGTACCAAACAAAGAAACTGGGATCAGGCACTATTATATCAATCACAGCATTTGTCTAAAAGAAAATTACAAAATATTGCTACAAAAGGGACAAACAAATTCAAACAACACTGTACATAATACACAAACACTAATATATTGTAAACAAAATATAGAGCACTTTAGTTAAGCATGGAGACATTCATAAATACAAACCTCTCGCCATAAAAATAATGCACGCAATAACCCCCACCCTCCTCCCCCCTTCCCGGTGGAGGCGGAAACAAATGGGCAGAGTTTCTTTCACCCTGATGCAACTGTTACCTAACAGTAAATAGGTACCTGAGAGTTAGACAGCTGCTACAGACTGCTTCCAGGGGATGTGTAACAAAAAGGAGGCTTGGTTGAGGACCGAAATCATCTCAAGATAACCCCCTCAAACATATACAGCCTGTATAAATACTGTATATACAGAGTTTTTCAACCCCAACTCCAGATTCTTTATGGTCATGACCATAAGAATCAGGAGCAAAACTATGGGTTTACTTGCCAAGGAAAAGGTACATGTTATCAGAGGCATACTTTATTGCAGGAAGCTTGTTGGGATCAGAGATCAACCCACTACAGTACATAACTGAGGTAATATGCCCGTAAACAAAAGAATGTCACAAAATACATTATATTTCCTCCAAGAATACCGAGTACTGTACAGTGGTACCTTGATTTATGACTGCCCTAGATTACGATTTTTTGGGTACACAATGTCAAATTCCTCGTAAAATTTTACTTGGTGTACGACGTTTGTCCAACGACATTTGTTGTTACTTGTATGGGTCGAGAAAGCGGGTTGTTCTGCTGGGCATTGTTCTGCCATGGCGTAGTTATATATCATGCCAAGGGGTCCCAAGAAAGTCAGTGGTAAAGTTAAACATAAGAAAATAGTTGAGTAGGAGCAGTAGAGGATGTCTCTTCCTCATTAAGAAAATGTGTACAGTATGGGAAGAACTGCAAAGTTTTGTTGAAAAAACTCACTCAGAAAACCTGTAGCAGGCCATTGCATTAACCTTTTTAACGACAGTGTGATATCTTGCTACAAACAAGTGTTAAAACGAGCGTAGGGAAAACAAGTACTTTCAAGTAGGGAAAGCAAGTGTCTTTAGACAGATTCTTAGTAAGACAAGCAAGCAGTGAGCCACAACCAGGTCCTAGTGGTATGCCTGCAAAATGTAGGAGAGTACACTAGAAATGGCATCAGTGCCTGATAATGGAAGGGTACTACCCTTCTAAACACTAACACCTCTACTCCTCCCCCCTCCCTTCCTCACCGTTTTACATACGCCAACAAGAGTCCTCAATAAAGGCAAGATACACTGTAGTACATCATATGAACAGTATTCTGTATAAAATGTATTCTTAATTTAGTTTTTGGGTGTATGGAATGGATTAATTTAATTTACATTATTTCTTACGGTAAAATTTGTTTCGTGTTAAAGTTTTCAGTTACGACCTATCTCTTGGAACAGATTAAATTTGTAAACGAATGCACCACTGTAATTATATGACTATCAAAACTCAAATATCATATAAAATGTCTGATATTTGACGTTTTATAGATATCACTAAAAAAACAGTACCTCCCACTGCCACGAAGTGGTAGGCACAACCCCTCAGGGCTTCAATGAGGTCCCACCCTTCACACGTACCTGATACCTTTTCTGACAGCTTCTGTTGAGACCAGAATTAAATTTCACTGATAAGTGGAAAGCTGTCCATTTTTACTTGCCCCCACACAGGGATCATGTTTGATATATTTCACTAGCAAGTATGATGATTACCTTCAGTGTCTACCTTATTCTGTTTCATTTCAGGGTCCCCTTCCCTGGTGCTTCTAGTAATGACCAGAAAACGCGAATTCATACCTCCTCTTGAGATTTTGGGGTTCCTCATTTAAGACACCTCTCAGGTCTTACCTTGTTTCACGAAGTGATTTGAGATTTTGTAGATGCAGAGAGACCTGTTCAGGGGGAATAGTACTGGAATTACGCTTGTGATTATGTGTACTGTACTTGTTCCGATACAGCTCGAGAAGATCTGAAGAACGTTGCACCATCAGTTGGCTGTTAATTTGGGAGATGTGTTAAAGTGATCATTTCCAATGCTCTAATGGTTCCTCATGCTTTTTCTTGCCTGTGTGCAACTGTTTCGGTGATTGCAGGCCATATATACATTCTTTCATACCTGATTGATTCAAAGATCTGTTTGGTGCTGTTCTTTGTTATGATTATGATTAGGCAAGTTCTCCCTGCAGTCCCACAGTGGCTAAACACACACAGATAAAGGTTTTCTATAGTGACTGTAGTCAAACTTTGCAGATCATTCTGTTGTAGCCTGTGGCTGGTGGTCCTAAAGCCATCAAATCTATATACAAGGCTGGAACGCACTTGGGTTGCCAGAACGATTACAAACTAGGCACTCAAAGCAAGTGGATTTGACACTTAGTATAGTGTGTGCTGAGACTGCTTAGAAATAAGAAAGATTATGTCTTCTGGATTATATATATCATCCTCTGTTAACCACTAAACTGCGCAACGCACCTGCAGGCGCTCGACGGGGGTTGTGCAACGCGCCACAGGGATATTATATTTTTAGCGTACGATTCAAAACTCCCGTGACTACATGGGGTTCGCATCAGCTTCCTCAGGGCTCTTGTAAACTGACGCCATTTTAAAAACAAATCGTGGGCAACATTCCTGGGTGTGAGCGCCTCAGTACTGAGTGAACAATCAAGGCTGGCGCACGCAGCATGAGCTCACAGCACTGCTGTTCAGCTTGTGACCACTGCATTGCCTAATAATGTCAAAATATATATATATTGTATAACTGGTATTATTTAGCCATGACAGTATTACAGAAGAGCCCGAGTGTGATAATGGCTGTGTACAATGTTCAAATATCAGTGAATCAATGCTGTTCACGATGTTCACAGCACTTATGTTACTTTACAAAATATACTTGTGGTCAATTATTCATTTACAGGATTTAGTGACCAGAATTGTGTTGATAATTAGCGCTGTGCATAGTATTGTGGGCGGAGGAAGTTTGGTTAGGAAGGGAGGGAGGGAGGGAGGGAATCCAGATAGCATCACTGTGTGTGGCAGCCACTCTTGTTTTGCTCACCATACTAGCTTAGTGGTTTGCTATGGTGAACACATATGTACATGGGTATATACAGTGTGTGTATATAGTGTAATAATAGCAACAAGAGTATGCTGCTGTTATGCTACGCCACCTCCCTCACCATTTTGGCGAGGGAGGTGGTGTCGTACTCTTAGCGTCGTTTACTGGCTGCTGTGTGATTTCTCATGCAGTGTATAGTGGCCACAATGCTGTTTGGACCCGATACCGGCTTACTTGTATAGTTATGGTGAATAAAACATATAGATACGTATACATAACGTGTGTAAATAGTGCAATAAGAACAATAACAGTATGGTGGGAGGAGCAATGTTGGCAAATAAGGTGTAAGGAGTAATCCAGGTGTTGGAGGAGTGAGGGAGAGCTGGCTGGATGTGGCAGCTCTCACTCATGGAGTTCTGAGTGTGTTGATGGTGAATGTATAGTGTGTAAATATGTTGTAAAAATACATAAATGAACATGAAACATTGAATATATGAGCAATATATGTGGACACATTTGGCCATTGCCTTAACCTATTCAATGACACTGTGATGCATCACTACAGACAAATGTTAAAACGAAGGGAAAAACAAGTGTCTCTTGACAAATTTTTAGTGAGAGAAACAAGCAGTGAACCACAACCCGGTCCTAGTGGTATGCAGGCAAAACGTAGGAGTGTACACCCCAGATCAAGCGTCCTCCATAAAGGTGAGATAAACATATGTACTGTATTGTAGTTAGAAAAAAAAGCATAGTATTCAGTATAAAATGTATTTGTAAGTTAATATTTTGGAGGGTGAGGAACAGATTAATTCAATTCCATTTATTTCTTATGGGAAAAATCGCTTCGACTTACGATATTTCGACTTACGATCCGTCTCTGGGAACGGATTACCATCGTAAGTCGAGGCCCCACTGTACAACATACAAGTACTAAAGCCAAGGGTGTACGTGAGTGCGTTATTTGCAAGCACACAGAATGAAGAAACAGGAAGTGAAAATTTATCTGTACCTGGTGCAACAAGAGCAAAGTCGCGCTGTGTACCATGGACTACTTCGTTGATTATTACTCGCTTCCGAAGTACTGAGTGTGTAATACAGTGTGTTACTGTAAATAGTGTCTGTAAATAGTGTGAAACTGTACATATTGTAATTTTAGTGAATTTTTAACAAGTAATATTGCGACTAAACATTTATTGTGGACACATTACTGACACATGTATCACAGTTCCATGGAACATTGTGAATGTTCTATTGTATACTGTCACATGAATCCCCTGCATAGCAGTGGAACTGCCTTTTCCCTTCACCTTCAATGCCTCTGCACTGGAAGTCTACATTTAC